AAAGAAAGAAAATAAAGGTTTACTCATTTACAACATTCAAATGCACAGTACTAATATTAGTAGAAGGAGAACGTTAACTTACAAAAACTTTCCTGAAATTTCAAAAGCATTTATTTGCTGACGAAAATATGACTAGCTAAGTAAGCAACATACTATCTTTTAATCAAGATTGGGTCATAATATAAAGCAATGATAAAATAATACTTTAATAAGTATTAATAATTTATTTTAGTAAGTAATAAGTTATTTAATTCCAACTCCTAATGCTCTCCAAAGAGAAAAAAACTGTACATTTAAAATTTTGTAGTTTTAGTAGAGATGGGGTTTCACCATATTGGACAGGCTGGTCTTGAACCCTTGCCCTTCAGCGATCTACCTGCTTTGGCCTCCCAACAAGGTGCTGGGATTACAGGCGTGAGAATACAAAAATTAGCTGGGCATGGTGGCAGTCACTTGTAATCTTAGGTACTCGGGAAGCTGAGGCAGGAGAATCCCTTAAGGCAGAGGTTGCAGTGAGCCAAGATTGTGCCATTGCACTCCAGCCCGGGCGACAAGAGCAAAAACTCTGTCGCAAAAACAAAACAAAACAAAATAAAAACAAAAAACAAAAACAAAAACATCTGTTAGGCTTCTGAATAGTTTCTTATCAGTTTTGTATCAGTTCTTTCATAAACTAAGTTAGAAAAAATCTTATCCCACGAAAACACCCAATCATGGGATGTGTGTATGATGTATTTCTTCAACAGTATCAGTTACAAAATAAAAAATAAAAACTATACAGTATGTAGACAACTGCTTACAATCATGAATAGATCTTTTATTTTCCAGTTAATTTTTTGCTATCTAGATTTTAATAACCAGGTTATTAAAAAGATACTTACTTTAAAATCAAGATATCTATGTATAATACAGAGAGTGACAAAATCTTCAGCAGATAGACCAGGTAAATTTTCAAAATCTAAAGTTTACAAAGACAGAATTACTTTAGCAAAGCAAGTGATTCTAAGAAATATCTATCTATCTATCTTTAAACAAATGCAAAATTACTTTTGATTTCATCTTGATTTATACAAAAGTTAATTTTGTGAGTAGTTTGTGAGTAGGCTTCCTTCTATAACAAATTTCTGCCAGCTCATATATATAGTCATTAGCATAGGAATCATTTCGTTCTGTGTTGGGGTCAGACAATAATATCTTACTTTAGAAGCTGCAGATTGTTTGATAACTTTTTCCTTAACAGAAAGCAAAGACTTAAAAAAAAAAAAAACTCAAGTGACTCAGAATGTTAGTATTTTAAGCTTAATCATCTAAACTAACTGTCCTTAATCCTATCTGCACAATGGAATTGCCTGGGAAGCTTTAAAAAATACTATTGCCTGGATCCCACACACAGAGATTCTGATTTAATTGGTGAGGGGTGCAGTTTGGGAAGTGGAGTAACAATAGAAAATGCATTTCTCTGTACAAAGAGACTTTTGCTCATTATATTTGAAAAACTGACTCCAAAGCAAAATAATTGTGTCTACTTAGCAAAACAGATAGGATCTTGTGAATCTGTAGAGCAACTTCTTACCTAGTTTGCCCAATATAGCATAAATTTTTGCTCTAATATTCTCAGAAACATCCATAACTGCAACAGATGGGCAGTTAGCAGGCAGTGGGATGATTTTTTGCTCTTCTTGAAAGCTAGTAAATAGAGGTTTCTTTGTATCTAATCATTGGATAGCATGAAAATAGGAAAGGGACAGATAAAAACCAAAGTAAACAAATACTTAATTTTGAGATTTTGGTCTAGATAACATAAAATGTATAATAATATTATAGCAGTAAATATAATATAATATAATATAATATAATAATATAGCATGGTTACACTTTTGAAATAATAATTAAGCAGCTATTACTTCCCTACTCTGTGGGAAAACTTAAAGCTTTCATTTATATTGTTTATGTAAAATATTAAAATTTAACAAAATTACTTTTTAAAAGTAAAACTTCTATGTAAGTAACTTAAAACATTTTGAAATCCAGAAGCTGAGTAATGTCTGTTTAACAATGATGTAACCTTCTTTACTTTTGGTTTCTATATATTATGCTATAAATATAAAAACCATTTTATGATGCTATAGTTCAAAATTCAGAAATAATAAAAATGAATTGAAGATAGAAGTCATCAGAAGGGGAAGTATTTTCATTGAAAAATAAACAATACTTAAAGGAACATATCTAAAAATAATGAGAGCCATCTATGACAAACCCACAGCCAACATCATACTGAATACAAAGGAAATACTTCCAGCTTTCCTCCAAACTGTCACAAGAGAAGCATGAGCTCTTTTACCACATAGTACTGGAAATCCTGGCCAGAGCAAACAGGCAACAGAAAGAAAAAACGGGCATCCAAATAGGAAAAGAGGAAGTCAAACTATCCCTGTTTGTAGACAACGTGGTTCTACATCTAGAAAACTCCATGGTCTCACCCCAAAAGCTCCTTTAGCTGATAAACAACTTTAGCAAAGTTTCAGGATACGAAATCAATGTATAAAAGTCACTAGCATTCCTATACACCAACGACAGCCAAGCCAACAGCAAAATCAGAAATAATCCCATTCACAATTGCTGCAAAAAGAATAAAATACCTAGGAATACAGCTAACCAGGCAGCTGAAAGATCTCTACATTAAGAATTACAAAACACTGCTTAAAGAAATCAGAGATGACACAAACAAATGGAAAAACATCCCATGCTCATGGATAGGAAGAATCAATATCATTAAAATGGTTATACTGCCCAAAGCAATTTACAGATTTAATACTATTCCTATAAAGCTATTCATAACAATATTGACATAAGTAGAGAAAACTATTTTAAAATTCACATGGAACCAAAAAGAGCCCCAATAGCCAAGGGCATCCTAAACAAAAAGAGCAAAGCTAGAGGCATCGCGTCACCTAACTTCAAACTATACCATCAGACCATAGTAACCAAAACAGCATAGTACTGGTACAAGAACAGACACAGTCAAATTGAACAGAATAGAGGGCCCAGAAATAAGGCTACACACCTACAACTATTTGATCTTCAACAAATCTAACAGAAATAAGCAGTGAGGAAAGAACTACACATTTAATAAATGGTGCTGGGATAAGTGGCTAGTCACATGCAGAAAACTGAAACTGAACCTTTTCCTTATACCATATACAAAAATCAACTCAAGATGGATTAAAGACTTAAACGTAAAACCCAAACTGTAATAACCCTGGAAGGCAATCTAGGCAACACCTACCTGGACTTAGGAATGGGAAAGATTTCATGACAAAGATGCCAAAAGAAATCTCGACCAAAGCAAAAATTGACAAATGGGATCTAATTAAACTTAAGAGCTTCTGCACAGCAAACAAAACTATCAACAGAATGAAAAGACAACCTACACAGCCTACAGAATGGGAGAAAATTTTTGCAAACTATGTATCTGATGAAGGTCTAATATCCAGCATCTATAAAGAACTTAAACAAATTTATAAGAAAAAAAAAAACTCAAACAGCTTCATTAAAAAGTTGGCAAAGGACATGAATGACACTTTTCAAAAGAAGCCATACATGTAGCCAGCAAGCATATGAAAAAAGCTCAGTATTACTGATTATTAGAAAAATGCAAACAGAAATCACAATGAAACAGCATCTCACACCAGTCAGAATGGCTGTTATTAAAAAGTCAAAAAATAACAGATGTTGGCAAGTTTAAACGGGATGCTTATACACTGTTGCTGGGAGTGCAAATTAGTTCAACCCTTGTGGAAAGCAGTGTGTCATTTCCTCAAAGAGCTAAAAACAGAACTATCATTTGACCCAGCAATCCATTGCTGGGAGTATACTCAGAGTAATATATAATATAAATCATTCTTGACAGAGGAAGTCAAACTATCTCTGTTTGCAGACGACATGATTCTATATCTAGAAAACATTATAGTCTCAGCCCAAACGCTCCTTTAGCTGATAAACAACTTTAGCAATGTTTTAGTTATTAGAAAAATGCAAATTGAAATCACAATAAAGACACAGGCACATGAACGTTCACTGCAGTGCAAAGACATGGAATCAACCTAAATGTCCATCATGACAGACTGGATAAAGAAAATGTAGTCTATATACACTATGGAATATTATACAGCCATAAAAGAATGAGATCATGTCTTTTGCAGGAACATGGATGGAGCTGGAGGCCATTATCCTTAGCAAACTAACACAGGAACAGAAAAACCAAATATAACATGTTCTCACTTATAAGTGGGATCTAAATGATGAGAATTCATGGGCACAAAGAAGGGAACAACAGATATGCGGCTTCAGAGCGGAAAGTGGGAGGAGGGAGAGGATCAGAAAAAATAACTATTGGGTACTAGGCTTAGTACCTGGGTGACAAAATAATCTGTTCAACAAACCTCTATGACATGAGTTTACCCATATAATAAACCAGCATGTTTATTATGAACCTAAAATAAATGTTAAAAAAAATGTTAACCGTTTAGATGAAACCATAAGAATCTTAAAAGGCTTAGAAAATGTAGGTGGGGCATGGTGGCTCATGCCTGTAATACCAGCAGTTTGGGAGGCAGAGGTGGACAGATCACTTGATGTCAGGAGTTTGAGACTAGCTTGGCCAACATGGTGAACCCTGTCTCTACTTAAAAAATACAAAAATTAGCTGGGTGTGGTGGCACACACTTGTAGTCCCAGCTACTTGGGAGGCTGAGGCACGAGAATTGTTTGAAGCTGGAGGCAGAGGTTGCAGTGAGCAAGATCACAATACTGCACTCCAGCCTGGGTGACAGAGTTAGACTCCATCTAAAAAAAAGAAAAAAGAAAAAAAAAAAAGGAAAATGTAATACACTGACCAGGTGTGGTGGCTCATGCCTGTAATCCCTCTTTGGGAGACTGAGGTGATTGGACTGCTTGAGCCCAGGAATTTGAGACCAGCCTGGGCAACATGGTGAAACCGCCTCTCTACAAAAAATACAAAAATTAGCTGGGTGTGGTGGCAGATGCCTATAGTCCCAGCTACTTGGGAGGGTAAGGCAGGAAAATCTCTTGAGCCTGGGAGGCAGAGGTTTCAGTTAGCTGAGATTGCACCATTGCACTCCACTTTAGGTTACTTGAGGGAAACCCTGTCTAAAAAAAAAAAAAAAAAAAAAGAAAGAAAATGTAATATAGCGGTATGGAATATGTAAACAAACTAAAAATTATGATACTATAAATCTCATCAATTTAGAATCTAGTAATTAAAATTTTTGAACATTTGGAGTATTTATGAAATAGTATCTTCTTTCATATAAAAAGCAAATTCTATAAACATTAATCAGATCATGTCACCTAATGGATTTTAAAAAAAGGAGGAAAGGAATAAACATTAATTAACAGAAATGTATAAAGTGCTAAAATATTATTTTCAAGCAATCTATTTACATCTCAAAATTTTATTGGTAAATGAAATCTACTAAATCTATATGTAAAAGCAGAAACCCCAAAGAAACATCTTTAGGAACTACTGTTAATTTTTTTAGTTAAAGTATATAATCAAATACCATTTCTTAAAAATATTTTCTAAAAATATTAACCTACTACTAATTTACTTAATTTCCTTCCAATCACTTATGATAGCAATTTTTTCAAACCCTTGTAAAAAAAAAAAAAAAAAAAACTTTAGACAAAGGGGTGAAAGTCCTGATGCTTTCTTAATACCATTTAAATATATTTTTAAAAAATACATCCAATTGCTTCTACTAACAATTATAAATATACTCACCAATGATCTTCCCATTTTTATCACGTTTTACTCCTAGTTCTTTTTCCTCCTTTCTCCACAATTTAATTAAAAGACTGGCGGCTGTCTGATCCTTCTTCCCTCGCCAAGCATTAACATGAGCTGCAGTTTTGGGATTATCACAAAATTCAACCATTATTCCAAGTATTAGATTACAGAATTTTTTTTGGTTCAACTTTAGCAAGGAAACAGAAAAGAAAAAAAAGTTGCAATAAATATTAAGAATTATTGCCCTCAAAAAAAAAAAAAAAAGAGAGAAACACTTGCATTACCATTAAGTTTCTTCTAAACTCAGAGTCAGGACAATCTCCTGTTAAAATGGATAACCCATTGTAATGAGTACATTTTCAAACATTGTAAATTTTAAAAAATAAAAAGATTTAATGTAATTCTGAAGTTATTATAAACATACTTCATGACCAAAATGTGACTGATGTGGTTGAGTTGGAAAAAGCAAATTTGCAAAAATAAGTGAAGATGTTCATTTTAAGTGGTGAAGCTCAATAGTGCTATACAGAATTCACTGTAATTACAGGATCTTTCCAATCTATATGCTTTATTAAGGCTTGTAAAGATTCATGCTAACTGTAATCTCTTTGTTATTAGGAGAATAACTGATGGTAACTGCAAGTGACAGTCATATATGAAAATAAAATAAGATATAATTTGGTTTTGTGGCAATCATAATCCATAAAAGAGTATTTAAGCATTCAAAAAAAATTCTCCTATTATCAAGCATATTTCCTTTATTTTGCTACAAGTAGTTTTCAGCAGGCTAAAATTTAGGTATAGAAAATTGCATCCAGAGCAATGGCTTCCATAATCTAATGCTTCTATATGAAATGCTTTTTGTTTTTCAAAAAATGTACTGCTATTTGAATATAGCAAAGGAAATGTGTAAGCTTTTGTTTCAATTGCAAACATTATCAGTTCCCTTTTATAAAATGAAGGTTAATAATATTACCTGCAAAAGGTTATTATGAATTATATGAGACTGCCTGGCACATAGTAAGCTCTCATTAATATTTAACCACTATTAGCAGTTATCATTGCATACTTTATATTTCAGCAAAATTGTATTACGCAAAACACTCAAGGAAATAAGTTCTTTAAAATTTCTATATTTCACTTTCAGGAGACAGGCAAACGTGAAAGATTGAAGTTGATATAAAAATTTCATTAAATAATATTTGTAATTTGCAACTAATTTGATTGAATCAGCATTAAACACAATCTATTAGTTATATTCATAATAACAGCTAACAGGAAAATGTGTTAGTTACTACTTAATCCATAATATATATGTATGCTTACACACTTAGATGCACACACACACACATACACTCATTTAATCCTTCCAACAATACAGTAAGATATATAATGTTGTTATCTCTGTTTTACAGATAGAAAAATTGAAAAGAGAGAAATGAACTAAATTTCAGGGAGGTTAAGGGGCATAAATAATTTTAGCTCCTTTGCTAAATCAAAGTAGGTTTGTTATTCTGTCAACAAAATCAAGAATGGTGGCAATCACAGAATCACAGACAGTGATCTGGCTAGAACTCTGTGTGAAACTCTCTCTCAAAGTTTTATTGAAACAAAACTGTACGTTTCCTCCCATATCATCTTGAGTATGGACTCCAGTTAGAATTGAGGCTAGTAAAGATTATATTCTTCACAACTGCTAGATGGCAACTGTCTCTATTGAAAGGCTTAGCTTGCTCATACCTGCTAATTCTGTAAAACAATGGTCCATGACACACTAGACGACTTCACATTACCTCCAAATAATACATAGTTCTTTAAAAATGCTTATCTTTGCTCCTTGTCTAATGTGGCCCTTATCTTTTAATACCAAGGGAAGAAACTAGAAGTTATTAATAAATAACTATGGGTTTTGATATGGTCAAGCTCTTCACTAACTGTTTCTTAGCAAGTTGATGGAGTAAAGGACAAAACAAATTATTTGTTCCCGTGTATTTGAAAACATTGAAAAAAAACTGGTAACGTGATTTTTCAACTGGAGGAATTCTCAGAGCCTTTAATACACTGTGTATTATGAATCTCTAGGAGCAATTTTGTTTAAGATAGTACCTTTGAACATGATTTGGGGCACATTTATTCATAAAATAGTGCCCTATGGTACTCAATTTGGAAAAGTTCTTTATTAATCATATTTTTCTTTTATCTTACAATTGCTATAGCCATACTTACTGCCAACACATCCAAAAGGAGAAAAATGCCTTCCTTTTCAAGAAAGTAATCCTCTGAGGGATAACATCCCAAAATACAGCACCTTAAATTAAAAGGAAGTTATTCATTTGATGAACATTTATTGTTAAACTCAATTTGTACAGCTTTATTTTTATGAAAGCATTTTCAAAGAATATGTTTTCTTCATTTCCTTAAATCAAGTAGCTAATGTTTTACCCAAAAAAAAATGGAACTTTGAAGAAATTTTACCAGTGTTGTTTAATTTCAATGTTTTTAAAAACCAGTATCAATTCTTTTTCATAACTGCCTATTTCTTTCCTACAAATGAAACATTCTCCTTTGCTTTCATAATATTAATTATTATTAGTGATCTTCTCTGGTTGGTTTAGAAACTTTTTTTCAAGGTATATCCATTTATTGTTGCTGTAAACCGAAAATAAATACCCAACCAACTAAATGGACCCTTCTCTTGGCCAAGGCATTCCAAAGTCAACTTGAAAAACTAGTTCAGGCCATGACGGGATGGAGGGGTTGGACATGTCTCATTATACCTTCCTTCCTTTGGAATTTAGGCACAATTGACCAGTATTAATATTAAAACAGAGATCTTAAGAATGAAAAAACAGACCCTTCACAGCAATGAGACACCAAATTCCAACCTGACTCCAGTATAGCACCATATGACAGTAGGCTCTGAAAGAAATCGAAGTATTTTACCCAAAATATATTCCTTTGACTTACTTTAAAATGGCCCTGCACAGCTCTCTCTTCTGGGGAAAATATATAGTCTGCAGAGAATCTCCTGCCTTTTCCAAGTATTTTCCTGATCCAGGAGAGATTTAACTAAATCTGACACCTTTTATGTTTACCAACTATTCTATATAATAAGAAATTTGGTCTCAACAATCAATTATTTTAACCCAGATACTCCTTTCTATTGATCCCAGGTTTTTAAATAATAACTTACCCTTTTCAACAGATGGCAACTAGGAAATTTTTGAATCCATCTCTGACCTGTAAACCCCAGCTTTGAGTTCCTTCCTTTCTGAACCAAACCAAAGCATACCTTATGTGTACTGATTGATGTCTTATATCTCCGTAAAATGAATAAAACCAAGCCATAGCCCAACTACCTGGGGCACATGTTCTCAGGACCTCTTAAAACTGTGCCTCAGGCTGGGCATGGTGGCTCACACCTGTAATGTCAGCACTTTGGGAGGCTGAGGGGGGCAGATCATCTGAGGTCAGAAGTTTGAGATCAGCTTGGCTAACATGGAGAAATGACATCTCTACTAAACATACAAGAATCAGCTGGGCATGGTGGTGGATGCCCATATTCACAGTTATTCAGGAGGCTGAGGCAGAAGAATTGTTTGAACCCAGGAGGTGGAGGTTGCAATGAGCCGAGATCATGCCACTGCACACCATCCTGGGTGACAGAATGAGACTCCATCTCAAAAAACAAAACAAAGCAAAGCAAAGCAAAGCAAAAACAAAAAAAACTGTGCCTCAGGCCTTGACCAGTCAGTCATACTGGGTTCAGAATGAAATTCTGTAAAATGTTTACAGGCCTTGTCGACATTGCTGTTTCTTTTATTTTATTTTATTTTTATTTTTTTTCCCATTTATTTATTTTATTGCATTTTAGGTTTTGGGGTACATGTGAAGAACATGCAAAATTGTTGCATAGGTACACACGTGGCAGTGTGATTTGCTGCCTTCCTCCCCATCACCTACATCTGGCATCTCTCCCCTTGCTATCTCTCCCCAGCTCCCCACCACCCACTGTCCCTCCCCTATTTCCCCCCAACTGACCCCAGTGTGTAGTGCTCCCCTCCCTGTGTCCATGTGTTCTCATTGTTCAACACCCGCCTATGAGTGAGAACATGCGGTGTTTGATCTTCTGCTCTTCTGTCAGTTTGCTGAGAATGATGGTTTCCAGGTTCATCCATGTCCCTACAAAGGACCAAAACTCATCGTTTTTGATGGCTGCATAGTATTCCATGGTGTATATGTGCTGTTTCAAGATGTTGGTGCACTTCAAATATGGGATAATTATTGATTATATCTCATCTTTGCAGTTAAGATTATTTTGTTAGAAGTGTTTGAATGAGAGCAACTCCATCTTAAATAGGGGCTGGGTAAAATAAGGCTGAGACCTACTGGGCTGCATTCCCAGATGGTTAAGGCACTTTAAGTCACAGGATGAGACAGGAGGTCAGCATAAGATACAGGTTATCGAGACCTTGCAGATAAAACAGGTTGCAGTGAAGAAGCTGGCTAAAACCCATCAAAACCAAGATGCTGATAAAAGTGACCTTTGGTTGTCCTTATTGCTACACTCCCACCAGCACAATGATGGTTTACAAATGCCATAGCAACCCAGACAACTGGGTTTTCTGGTCCTTAGGCTGTCAGTCTCAGACTGGAAGGACACCATCAGTACTCCTGGGCACTCCGCTTGCTGATGGTAGTTCTTGGGACTTTTCAGCCTTCCTAATTGTGTGAGCCAATCCCTTATAATAATAATCTCAATCTATCTTTCTCTCTCTCTCTGTTTTTTCCTACTGGTTCTGTCTCTTTAGGGAAACTTGACTAATATAATATCTAAATGCAAGGGGTCAGCAAAAGCTAAGACAATCTTAATGGGGAAGGAAAAAGTAGGAAGACTTACTCTACCAGATGTCTAGGCTTATTAAAAAGACCTAGTTATTAAAATAGCACAATATTACAGAAGGATAGACAAAAGACCAGTAGAGCAGTTTAGGAATCCTAGAATAGATCCAAATACATATGGACATTTGATTTGTACAAAGAAGGTACTGCACAGCAGTGGGTAAAGGATGGTTTATCCAAAAACAGCACTGGATTACATCCATACAAAAAAAAGTAAAACTTGTACCTCACCTCACACCATACCTACAAATCAATTCCAGGTAGACTATAGGCCTAAATGTAAAGGGCAAAACAATAAAGCGTCTAGAAGAAACACAGGCAGTAATCTTCATGATTATGGGGTAAGAAAAGACTGCTTAAACAGGGCACTAAAAGTACTGACCATAAAAAAACAGACTAGTAAATTAGACCACACTGAAATTAAGACTATTGGTTCAACAAAAAGAGAGTGAAGAGAGTGAAAATGTAAACCTCAGGGTAGCAGAATATATTTGACAAACATGTAACAGAAAAAGGCTCATGTCTACTACATATAAAGAACTCAATAAAAAAATAATAGGTAATTAGAAAAGCAAGAGACTTGAGCAGGGATTTCACAAAAAAGAGGCTATTCAAATGGCAAATGAACTTGTTAGTAATCAGGAATATGAAAATTAAAACTAGAAAGAGACACTGGCACACAAGTCCACAAGAATGGCTGCAATGAAAGATACAGTGCAGTGTGTTGGTAAGGGTGTGGAACAAGGAGAAATCTTCACACTACTGGGAAAGGTTTAATTGATATAAGTACTTTGGAAAATTTTTTGGTATTATCTCTTAAAGCTGAACAGACATAAAAGTGCCCCGATCTAGGCATTTTTACATCTAGGTGTATACTGGACAGAAATATCTATGCAAGTGTAATAAAATATATGCACACAAATATTTTTTCATAAGCCTAGGCTAATTTGTGTTTGTATCTTAGTTTTTAACAAATAAAAGCAACTTAATTTTGTTTTAAAGAAGAAACTTATAGAATAAGGATATAAAGAAAAAATATTTTTGTATGGCTATACAATGTGTTTGTATTTTTTTGGTGGGGACTGAGTCTCACTCTGTTGCAAGGCTGGAGTGCAGTGGCGTGATCTCGGCTCATTGCAACTTCTGCTTCCCGGGTTCAAGTGATTCTCCTGCCTCAGCCTCCTGAGTAGCTGGGACTATAGGCATGCACCACCATGCCCAGCTAATTTTTTTTTTTTGAGATGGAGTCTTGCTCTGTTGCCAGGCTGGAGTGCCGTGGCGCAATCTCAGCTCACTGCAACCTCCACCTCCTTGGTTCAAGGTATTCTTCCACTTCAGCCTCCCAAGTAGCTGGGACCACAGGCGTTTGCCACCACGCCCAGATAATTTTTTTTTTTTTTTTGTATTTTTAGTAGAGATGGGGTTTCACCATGTTGCGAGGATGGTCTCAATCTCTTGACCTTGTGATCCACCCGCCTCAGCCTCCCAAAGTTTTGGGATTACAGGCATAAGCCACTGTGCCCGGCCAATGTGTTTGTATTTTAAGCTAAATGTTATTACAAAAGAGCCAAAAACTTAGAAAAAATTAAAACATTTATAAAGTAAAAAATATTACAGTAAGCTAAGGTTACTATATTATTGAGAAAAGAAAAATATTTTAAAAATACGTTTAGTGTAATCTAAGCGTAAAGTGTTGATAAAGTCTACAGTAATGTATAATAAGGTCCTAGGCCTTCACATTCATTCACCATTCACTCACTGACTCACTCATAGCAACTTCTGATACTGCAAGTTCTATTCATAAGTGCCCTCTACAGGTGTACTATTTTTAAAAATCTTTTATTCTGTAGTCTTACTGTACTTTTTAAAAATGTTTAGCTATGTTTCGATATACAAATGCCACTGTGTTACAATTGCCACAGTATTCACTATAGTAACATGACATAGTTTGTAGCCTTTAGGCTACAGCATCTAGTTTAAGTATGTAGTAGGTTATATCGTCTCGGTTTGTGTAAGTACACCCTATGAAGTTTGCATAAGACAAAATTGCCTAAGGACACATTTCTCAGAATGTATCCCCACTGTTGTAAAGTGATGCATGACTGCTGTGAGTCTACCTTATTGGATTACAGTAATACTCACCAAATGCTGTCCAATGTACTAAAAAGAAGTATATTATAGCCTAAGCCACTCTGTAACTTCCTGGGATCTGTTTTCATCACATGAAGAACTATATCTACTCCTTCAGTTCCAAAAATTTCCTGTTTAAGATATTTGTTTTAAATTATTTCTTGAAATAAGTAATTCCTTCATTTCCTACTTTATCCCCTAAAATTGTTTTTCTACCAGAGAAATACAGCAACATTGTTAGAAAAATACCGCTTTTATTTACTACAGTTTAAAAAACTGTACTTACTTGTTCTCAGGAATTTAAAACCAATTATTATAAAAACTAATCATTTTAAGAGGGGGTATCAATCAACACGTGAGTTTAATAATATCCCTTTAGATTTTTTGTTTTATTCCCTTTCTCCTAAAGTCATAAAATTTGCAATTCTGTTTTCTTCAACATTATAATGAATGCAGTCTAGCATTATGCCAGATCAATTATTATATGCTAATAACTATCATGATTTTTAATGACCCCAAGAGGGAAATAAGATATAAATGTAGTTAAAACCTTTAATAATTTATGTGAAGTTTTAACCACTTAATATTTTTCTCTAAGTACCTTTCTCATTGCCTTGTTGTTCAGGTCTGGTTCCCAGTAAGCAAGATCATGATTATTTTTCCAGAGGAGCCCAGGTACAGGGCGGTAGAATATGAGGAGAAATTTGATGCATCAAAGCTTGGAGCTAAGCAGGTATTTACTTAAAATCTATCTACTGAAATCATCATTTTTTTTTATCTTTACAATTCCATCCCTTGTTATTTAATATTTAAATTATCAATCTCTGAGACTCAGAGTTCACTATAGAGCTAAAAAAGATAAAAAGGGATTAAGATCTCATTCTAACTTCTGGCTTTAGGTTTGAACCCAATTCAAACCCCAGACAACATTTAAAATGGTACAGCCCACTTTGTAAAACTGTTTAGCAGTTTCTTATAAAGATAAAGATACACCTACAGCAATTCCCCACTCGTAGGTACTTACCCAAGAGAAATGAAAGTATTATGCACTAGTGCGAGACTAGTACAAGAATGTTCACCAAAGCTTTATTCACTATAGCCATAAATAAAAGAACCCAAGTGCCTACCTATCAATAGGGGAACAGATATACAAATTTTGGTATATTCATACAATGGAATACTATTTAGCAATAAAAAGAAATGAATTATTGATACATAGAATGACATGGATATATTTCTTTTTTCTTTTCTTTTTTTTTTTCTTTGAGACATAGCCTCACTCTGTCACCCTGGCTGGAGTGTAATGGTGCGATCTGGGCTCACTGCAACCTCCACCTCCTGGGTTCAAGCGATTCTCATGCCTCAGCCTTCAGAGTAACTGAGATTACAGGTGTGCGCCACCATGCCCAGCTAATTTTTGTATTTTTAGTAGAGACAAGGTTTTGCCATGTTGGCCAGGCTGGTCTTGAACTTCTGACCTCAGGTGATCCACCTGCCTCAGCCTCCCACAGTGCTGAGATTACAAGCGTGAGCCACCTCGCCTGGCCAACATGGATGCATTTCTAAAATATGATGCTGGATGACACAATCCAGACATAAAACAATAAATTGTGTGATTCCATTCATATAAACTTAAAGAATAGGCAAAACCAACCTATAGTAATAGAAAACAGAATAGTAGTTTGTCTGGAGGTGAGTGGGGGGATGGCTTCTAATGGGATGAGGAAATTTTATAGAGAGAGAAATATTCTCTGTTTTTTTTTTTTTTTTTGGGGGACGGAGTTTCGCTCTTGTTACCCAGGCTGGAGTGCAATGGCACGATCTCGGCTCACTGCAACCTCCGCCTCCTGGGTTCAGGCAATTCTCCTGCCCCAGCCCCCTGAGTAGCTGGGATTACAGGCACACGCCACCATGCCCAGCTAATTTTTTGTATTTTTAGTAGAGACGGGGTTTCACCATGTTGACCAGGATGGTCTCGATCTCTTGACCTCGTGATCCACCCGCCTCGGCCTCCCAAAGTGCTGGGATTACAGGCTTGAGCCACCGCGCCCGGCCTAATATTCTCTGTTTTAACTGGAGTATTAGTGAAATGGGTGTATATCATTGTATATCCTGTACCTTTTACTTTATATAATTATACTCTAATTATTAACAAAAATATTAAATTTTCACAAAACTAAATACAATTATAGATAGTTACAAAAATAGTTTATAGTGTTAGGTGACTGGGAGCCCTGAACAAAACTGCAACAGGCATACATACCTTCCTTTGAATATGGTGCTCACAAAGACCAGATAGGATAAGTAATATATCAGACTGGATTTCCAAAACAATGGCTTCTTCCTTTTCATTAGTCTTGCTTATTATATTTTTAAAGATTCCTGGTATGAAAACATTTAAAGGATGTATGGTTATTAGATACTTTTTAAAATTTCGATCAATTACTGCTTGGAAATCTCTTCTAAAAAGCTTGTTTGGCTAGAGAAACTTTTATTTGTTTACTTATTTTTATTTGTTATAAAGAGACAGGGTCTCATTATGTTGCCCAGGCTGGTCTTGAACTCCTCAGCTCAAGTAATCCTCCTGTCTGGGCCTCGTAAAGTGTTGGGATTACAGGTGTGAGCCACCATGGCCAGCCTAGAGAAACTATGTTAGAAGAGGACATTTTCATTGCATAGTAACCTAGAGGCTATGGAAAGATGATAAATGAATTCCTACAGTTTTCAATATAATCAGTAGCCCTACCTACAAATATAGAATTTCTCAATATAATCCGTAGCCTCACATAAACAGAAATTCTAGTACAGAATTAATAGTGTGTCATTAAAGGATGCCCCAATAACCTGACATTTTGCTTAGCAAACTTGTTTAAAAATATGCAGAGTTTCATGAGGTAGGAAATGAGTACCTTTGCAAATATATGAAGATGTTTCCTGACTGTAGTTTGCCTAATTTCTTCCTCTCCTCATGGTTAACAGGGTCAAGTCTAAGCAAAGGCGGCAGATCTTTTTAAGCGTGTTTTCTATTCCTGTTACTATCTTCTGCATCTTTCCTTGATGTCTAACTGAAGGTGTTTTAAACAACTTTAGGTAACAGTATTCCTTGTCCTTTAAAATCCCTCTCTTGCTTCCAATTGAAATTGAACGGGACTGAAAAGGGGCCACTAACGCTGATGAAATTATATTCATGATACAATGTTGCCTCAAAAAGGATTTTTTAAGCTCTAAATAAAGAACAAAAGTCACCTTTTCTCTGTTAAAGGGGGTCACTGGCATTAGCAGAAAAGTATGGAGCTATGTTCCAAAGTAGAAGGGATATGGAAATCTTAGCCTATCTCTAAAACTGTCCCTGAGGGACTATTCTAGGTCCCAGTAGGATGAATTACAGGTGTGGGATCAGACCCTAAGGGAGGCTAGTTGAGCCGGCTGGAGGCCCAGTGCTGGGGTATGCCATGGATAGAGGGGCCTATTTCCATTTATCAGGAACATCTTCTAGGAATCCAATCTATTTGGCCATAGGTCTGCTGCTTCTTTCTAGACTATCTCATTCTCCTTCCTAACTGAACGCAGGCAGTAACATTTCTTGCTGTCTGTAACATAGTATAATGCTCCATATTTAAGTACCCTTCAACTCCTTGCCTTTATTGTCTTCTTGTTCTAGATCATTCTATTTCTCCCAGATTCTTCTTCCTAAAATACAACATTGTACATACATCACTAATCAAAACCCCTTGCGGCTCTCCATGCCTTAAGAGGATGAAGTTTGAACTGTTGTCAATCACTCAAAACTCATTCCAGCTTGGCCTCTGGCTATATAATTAACCTATCTTATGTCATTTGTCTTCATAAAACTTTGGCTCCTCTTAAACTAGCTCTGAACACATCACCATGCATATTTCAGGACCATGTCTCCCTGTTCATGCTATTTCCCTGCTTGAGCGCTATGTCTGTTTTTCTACCTCTTTACACTACCCTTACCTCACAGAATCCTGACTTCCTAGCCCGGAAAGCTAGCCAAGCCTCTTAGTTTCTGTCACATTATTCTGTACTACGCATTAAGTGTCTTAACTGATGACATGTAGGGTAACAAATGCTATCTTTCTATGATATACGTAGTTTCTATTTTCTCATTAAGGAAAATGTCCTCAGTGTCCTGCATTATACATGTTTGTAACCCCAGTGTCTACACAGAAAGTATATAAACATTTTTATTTTATTTCAATAGATTTTGTGGAACAGGTGGTTTTTGGTCACATAGCTAAGTTCTTTATTGGTTATTTCTGAGATTTTGGTGCACCTAACACCCAAGCAGTGTATACTATACCCAGAAAGTGTATAAACATTTACATTTATAATCTAGTTACTACTTATTGAGCACATTACCACTACAAAGCCCTGTTAGACTCAGTTAGAAAAGGTCCCTACCTCCAATAAATTAACATAAAGATCAGCTTATTTTCAGTTAAGGGGAAAAGGTTCTAAGACAAGAAGAACCATTGCTATTTGTTTTCCCTTTTCCCTACCCTGTTCCCTAGTGCAGGTAGGATTAAGACTTCTTCCTAGACATATGAAAGATTATATTCCCTGGATTAACTCTAGTTAGACTGAGTTTTATGCAACAGAATGTGCACAGGAATGATAAAATGCACTTTCAGATTTGTTCATCCCAAACAAACTGGGCAAAAGGGTAAATGTTTTCACCTAGCTCCCTTTTCAATATACTTTGATTTCCTGCTATTTTCTATATTACTATTATTAGAGAGCACCACCCCACTCCACTAATGATGAAAGAGTAAGCACCTTAATTTAACAAATAGAAGAGTTTTTGAGTAGGCATTTATAATTAACATTAACATCTACCAGATAATATAATTGACTAGTGAAGTAATCACTGCATATGAATGACTGAAATAACTCTTTTCAAAGTCAAGGAAAGGTATGATCTAGATAACTTTTTTAAATAACAAAAGGTAAAGCAGCTTTTGTTTAGGGGTTCTGAATTTTACACTGAGTTTATGTGTACTTATTTTCGGGGATATGGTGATTAGGCATAGTCAAGTATAAGCTGAAAGTCAAGGATATTCTGATATTTCATATCAGAAAAGAAACTCCTCTGTACATTTCTGTAAATGCCAATGCACCAGTGTTCTGTTATGACACATGCATTGGAATGCCATGTTATCCTGTTTTAAAATAGCTCCAAAAGGCTTGGCCAAAAGTGGTGACCTGGCCAGGCGCCGTGGCTCATGCCTGTAATCCTAGCATTATGGGAGGCAGAGGGGGGCAGATCACAAGGTCAGGAGATCAAGAACATCCTGGCTAACAGGGTGAAACCCCATCTCCACTAAAAAAATACAAAAATTAGCTGGGCATGGTGGTGTACGCCTGTAGTCCCAGCTGCTTGGGAGGCTGAGGCAGGAGAATCGCTTGAACTCAGGAGGCGGAAATTGCAGTAAGCCCAGATCACACCATTGCACTCCAGCCTGGGTGATAGAGAGAGACTCTGTCTCAAAAAAAGAAAAAAAAATTAGAATAGCCCATTTAAAAAAAAAGATAAAGATAATCCTAAATGGTATCTGAGTTGAAGAAATAAATGTTTAAAGGGTTAGTGATTATGATATTTCAGTAAGAAGAAAAACTGATTTATAGCAACAATATGAAACAAATGAAACAAAAATCAAGAAAATATTCAGGAGCTTCTCAATCATAAAGACAAAATAAATTTTAGAAGAACATTTCTAACAAAACTACTTCTATTATAAATATTCCTCTTTCGTCGGCAAACCACCATGTTATATTTTACCTATCATTTGCTGAATTGTTCCCTTTTCACAAAGATCTGTGTTTACAGTCTCATCTTCAAGGTAGACCATGGCTCTCAGGAGTCGTAAACTGTAGCGCATCTGGGCAAACTTGTTGCCTCGGCCACCTGTACCATGAAAACTGTTACCATGACTGAAAAACGGATCTGTGGAGAAAAATTGATAATTTAAAACAAAAACATTTCAAATAAACAAAACAATATATCAGATATCTTATACATTTATCAAAAGTTTAAACAAATGTTAAAATTTTGTCATATTTGCTTTAGTTTTTTTAGAGAAGTAAAATATTCCTTTTCCCTCCTTCTATTCTCGGAATATGTTTTAGAATTTTACTGAAATGTATCATATGTATCTTTTGCAACTTGCTTCTATTTATTACTCAAGATTATGTTTGCTTTAAAATTATTCATATTGTCGCAAGTAGATATAGATTATTCATTTTAATCGCTTTCAGCATTCATTTTTATAAATGAATTATAGTTTATCCATTCACTAGTATAAACTGTTACAATAAACATTCTGGTTCATGTCCTCTTCTATCCATTAAGAAGAGTTTTTCCATGTGACTAGAATCATATAGGATATATCCACATTGAATTTTACTAAAGGTGCTAAATTGTTTCTCAAGGTATTTATATAGATACTATGTATAAGATGAATTAATTTTTCTTTTCTAAGAGACAGGATCTTGCTCTGTTGCCCAGGCTAGATTGCAGTGATGCAATTATGGCTCACTGTAGCCTCAGTCTCCTGGGCTCAAGTGATACTCCCACCTCAGCCTCCCAAGAAGCTAGGTCTACAGGTATGTGCCACTATGACCAGCTTTTTTTTTTTTTTAATTTTAAGAAATGGGGTCTTGCCATGTTGCCCAGGATGGTCTTGAACTTCTGGCCTCAAGTGATCCTCCTGCCTTGACCTCTCAAAGTGTTGGGATTACAGTTGTGAGCTACTGTACTTGGTCTTGATTTTCTCTGAAATCTGTTAAATTTGAAGTGATAGTTCACTGTTATGTTAATTTGCATTTATTTGATTACCAATTGGATTGAGAGTTTTTAATTTTTTTTTTTTAAAAATTTTTTTTGAAAATTCTCTGTGATATAGCAGTCCCTGTCTTTGCATACTTCTCTACTGAGTTGTTTTCTTGTTGATATGTAGGAGTTCTTTATAAACCTGGATTTTAATCCATTATCAGTCACAGGGGTAGTAAATGTCTTCTCTCAATTTGTAGATTAGTATTTCACTTAGATTTTGTCATACAGACATTTGTACATTTTATAGTACTTAAATACATCAATTTTTTCTTGTACCTTAAACTTATGAGTCTTTAAAGAAACGTTTTCCTATCCTGATATCTAGCATAAAGACATTTTCCCATGTTTTCTTCTAACAGTTTCAACTGTATGACTTTTCAAATTTACATCAATTTATTAATTTTGCAACTGATTTTTAAAAAAACAAAGTGAAAAGATCTAATTCTTATTTTTTCACATGGAAGACCAACTGCCCCAACACCATCCTTCCCTCACTGATTGGCAATATCATCTTTCATAATGCTAACCTTCCATGTACTCCATGCCATTGACTATCCATGACCCAGTACCACATAACTTTAATTACAATAGCATTATGGTAGGTCTTGATAAGTATCAAGGCAAATCCTCCCTTCTTTATGCTATGCTTTCATTAAAAGCTACTTTTAGAAGTAGCTTTATGTTTCCAGTTTTAAAAAAGTTGAAAATACTGTTCTGAGTATTGCATGTTGGTTAAAATTGTGGGTTCCATTATAGAACCTGGGTTAAATCTTTGCTCTGCCACTTGTGGCCAAGAATAAGTTATGTAACTACTTAGACGGAGTTCTACCCATCTGATAAACAGGGATAATAATAATACCTATACCTCTTAGGTTTGTTGAGAGGCCTAAGTGACTTAATACTTGGAAGGTGTGTAAGGCCTACCAGACAGTAGGTTCTGAATAACTATTAGTTATCAGTTCTCTTCTTATTAGATAGCATTTCCCCTTTTGCCTTAAAGTCTTCTACAAACATAAATGATATAAAGGATAGACTGAAGAACTGCTTTATTTAGTGAAAAATAATTTTATAAGACTAAATTTAGTAGCTCAGCATTTGGAAACTAGAGAATAAAAAGGCTATCATTTTTTCCTCCTTCATGCATAAATGGGTGACTGATCTAATGAAAATGCATTGTAGAAAATTATTTCCAGAGCAAAATTACTAACAGAAAAGAAACAATATCTTCCTTATAAAACTTTTTAAAAATGAATGTATTTCTTTTTTCTAAGAACTTAAATAAAATACAAACAAACTGGGGCTCTACCAATTTGGTAGACCACATTGGAGTCATTACTTCTGGCTAGATATCTAGATTTTTATTATTATTATTATTTTACTTTAAGTTCTGGGGTACATGTGCAGATTGTGCAGGATTGTTACATAGGTATACACATGCCATGGTGGTTTGGTGCCTCCAACCCCTGTCATCTAAACCTATTAGGTATTTCTCCTAATGTTATCCCTCCCCAATACTCCCACCCTCTGCTATCCCATCCCTAGTCTCCCCACCCCCCAACAGGCTCTGGTGTGTGATGTTCCCCTCCCTGTGTCCATGTATTCTCATTGTTCAACACCCACTTATGAGTGAGAATATGCGGTGTTTGGTTTTCTGTTCTTGTGTCAGTTTGCTGAGAATGATGGTTTCCAGCTTCGTCCATGTCCCTGCAAAGGACATGAACTCATGCTTTTATATGGCTGCATAGTATTCCATGATGTATATGTGCCACATTTTCTTTATCCAGTCTATTATTGATAGGCATTTTGGTTGGTTCCAAGTCTTTGCTATTATAAACAGTGCCACAAAACATACGTGTGCATGTGTCTTTATAATAGAATGATTTATAATCCTTTGGGTATATACTCAGTAATGGGATTGCTGGGTCAAATGGTATTTCTATTTCTAAATCCTTGAGGAATTGCCACACTGTCTTCCACAATGGTTGAACTGATTTACACTCCTAACAACAGTGTAAAAGTGTTCCTATTTCTCCACATCCTCTCTAGCATCTGTTGTCTCCTGATTTTTTAATGATCATCATTCTAACTGGCATGAGATGGTATCTCAGTGTGGTTTTGATTTGCATTTCTCTAATGACCAGTGATGATGAGCATTTTTTCATGTTTGTTGGTTGCATAAATGTCTTCTTTTGAAAAGTGTCTGTTCATATCCTTTGCCCACTCTTTGATGGGGTTGTTTTTCTCTTGTAAATTTGTTTAAATTCTTTGTACATTCTGGATATTAGTCCTTTGTCAGATGGGTAGATTGCAAAATCTTTTTCCCATTGTTGGTTGCCAGTTCACTCTAATGATGGCTACTTTTGCTGCGCTGGAACTCTTAAGTTTAATTAGATCCCATTTGCCTATTTTGGCTTTTGTCATTGCTTTTGGTGTTTTAGTCATGAAGTCCTTGCCTATGTCCTGAATGGTTTTGCCTAGGTTTCTTCTAGGGTTTTTATGGTGTTAGGGCTTATGTTTAGACCTTTAATCCATCTGGAGTTAATTTTTGTATAAGGTGTAAGGAAGGGATCCAGTTTCAGCTTTCTGCATATGGCTAGCCAATTTTACCAACACCATTTATTAAATAGGGAATCCTTTCCCCATTGTTTGCTCTTGTCAGGTTTGTCAAAGATCAGATAGTTGTAGATGTTTGGCATTACTTCTGAGGCCTCTGTTCTGTTCCATTGGTCTATACCTCTGTTTTGGTACCAGTACCATGCTGTTTGATTACTGTTGCCTTTAGTATAGTTTGAAGACAGGTAGCATGATTCCTCCTCCTCGTCTCTCTTCTATCTTTTTTTTTGCTTAGTATTGTCTTGGCTATTCAGCCTCTTTTATGGTTCCATATGAAGTTTAAGGTGATTTTTTCCAGTTCTATGAAGGTCAATGGTAGCTTGATGGGGATGACACTGAATCTATAGATTATTTTGGGCACTGTGGCTATTTTCATGATATTGATTCTTCCTAACCATGAGCATGGAATGTTTTTCCATCTGTTTGTGTCCTCTCTTATTTCCTTGAGCAGTGGTTTGTAGTTCTCCTTGAAGAGGGACTTCACAAACCCACAGCCAAGATTATACTGAATGGGCAAAAACTTGAAGCATTCCCTTTGAAATATGGCACAAGACAAGGATGCCCTCTCTCACCACTCCTATTCAACACAGTATTGGAAGATCAGGCAAGAAAAAGAAATAAAGCGTATTCAATTAGGAAAAGAGGAAGTCAAATTGTCTCTATTTACAGACGACATGATTGTATATTTAAAAGACTCCATCGTCTCAGCCCAAAATCTCAAGCTGATAAGCAACTTTGGCAAAGTCTCAGATTACAAAATCAATGGGCAAAAATCACAAGCATTCCTATACACGAATAACAGGTAAACAGACAGCCAAATCATGAGCAAACTCCCATTCACAATTGCTACAAAGAGAATAAAATACATAGAGATCTAGATTTTAAGCTCCATGGAGAGAAGGATGTTTATTTGTTTTAAGCCTAAATGTATTTTCAGTAGTGAAACAGTATCTAGTACCCATTAGGCAGTCATAAATATTTGTTGAATGAATGCATTATAATATTGCTAGGCTAGACAGTATTGTAATTGATTTCAGGCTCACACCTGTAATCCCCACACTGTGAGTGGCCAAGGCAGGCAGATAGCTTCAGCCCAGTGGTTTAAGGCTAGACTGGGCAACATGGCAAAACCCTCTCTACAAAAAATACAAAAATTAGCTAGGCATGGTGGCATGCACCTGTAGTCCCGGTCACTGGGAAGGCTGAGGTGGGAGGATCACTAGAGCCCAAGAGGTTGAGGCTGTAGTAAGCCATGAGCATACCACTGCACTCTAGCCTGGGTGACAGGATGAGATCCTGTCTCAACTAACAAACAAATAAAGCAAATAAAATATTTCCAGGAGTTTAGATAGATCTAATAATACAAAATTTTAAATTACATGTATGATTTCTTTATGTGTGCATCAACTCTGACATTTACTAAGTGTGCATCAACTCTGACTTTAAATAAAATCTGTATTTTTCTTAAAACAACATACAAATACACTAATAAGAAGTCAGGTCTACATGTTTTTACTTCTTGTAGCTTTAATTAACTTCATTGTTATTTCTAAGCATATATTGAGCATTCAGTTGAAATTTGAAGATGAGAATTTTGACAGGAATCTTGAAGGGCCACTCACCTTCACTCTCACACCATTCTAGAAATGCAAGGACTTGAGCATTTCCCTGGCATGACATGTATTCTTCTATTAATAAAGGAGCCACTGAAGACAAAGTGGCAATTGCATGCAGTTGTAATTCTTCATACTGTGCTGCAGACCAGTTAATTGTTTTTTGTTTCTCAGGCTTCTTAACATAGGTAAACAAAGCCAAAATAACTTTGCCCTCAATTAATAGCTGTGAGAAAGAACAAAGGATGCTTTGTTAGAAACATGGCTAAAACTACTTCATTTGATCTAAGGCAATTAAATTAAAAAAATACATTTTGATGTTTTATTGATGACTATTTCAAAATACTTCCTTTATAAAATAACCCCGACCTATGATAGGTACCAAAAAAAAACCAGAAAAATTTAATACCAGTTGGTTATGATTCTCTTTTCTGAGGACTGTTATGCTCTGATTATAATATAAAATATGTGTTAATTTTTTGTCTTTGGTGCTCATATATGTACTTTAGTTACTGCTTATAATAAAACCATAGGAGTAGAATATTTGGGGGCAAATGCTGATATTTCTTTCCTCACTCTCTTTTTAAAAAAAGGAAATGTATCACAGATTCAGTTGTGTACCATAAAAAAAATTTTGTTTGACGTAATGACTACAGTGAATATTTAAACACATGCAACATAAACATTCTACCAAATAAATGTCAGTTAGGTCACAAGCCACGTTTAATTATATGCCTAGTATTTTTAAATTTTATTGACTCCATCATTTTAATAAAAATGAGATAAAATGCACAGCTATTATGACAACAGAATTAGTATAGTTGATTCTGATTGATGCATATTTATGATTCACAAGAGAAGAAAACATCATATGCTATATTATATTTAATTTTCTTTTAATTTGGCTTTATTCTAAAAAGACTTTCCCAAAAACAATTTTTCTAATTCCCTACTAGTCCATGTGAAAAGAATGCAAGATCTAGAGTTGAGAAAACAGGAATAACTACTAGTTCTAACATTGTTGTTAGAATTAGGTATATAATGTTTCAAAAATACCCTGTGTTGCAAATGATAGTATACAAATTCATTATCATTACTAGTAATATTACTGGAACACAAATTATATGACACATAAAAATGGGTGATTTCGCTGCTCACAAAGTGTTTTAAGAAGCTCACCATAATCTGTGCTACTTGACTCTGTTGTTTATAAAATGTTGTTTAATCAATTAAAATTGATTTATAAACTGTAGTGTAAATTTCATTATCTTTATAGCTGTAATATTAATATTTATATAATACTCTATTAGAATAATAAATCATAATTTATGGAATAATTTTCCAAATGATTTTCCATTTGCATTTTGGAAAATACATTTAGGTTCTACACAGTATGTGTTTTTTTGGTCACAAATGATAAAGATATAACTGTAAAGATAATTTTTCTTTTCCTGAGCATTTGAAAATATATATATTCCTCAAAGTTGCATTACTAAGAAAATGCTGAGCTCAGTTAAATCCTCATAATAATCTTGAGTTAGGCGTTATCCCCACATTGAAGTTGAGCTATCTGGGATTTAGAGAAATCAAATAACCCATTAAACACCACATAGCCACAAAGTGGCAGCACTGGGATTCTGTCTGACTAAAGCCTTTACTGCTAGACTATCCCATCTTTATATTTTTGGTAGTGATGTTGATAGACTGAATTCCTACTTCGTTTTCATGGTAATCCTTGGAGCTTGGTAGAGTTTTAGGACTAAAAGGAAATTTCACCTAATGCAGTAACAAAACTAACAGTATTGTTAAAAATACATTTACTATCACTTTATAGTTTATAAAGCCTTCATCTCAACTTCACAGTAGACCTGTGAGCAGAGCTGAAGCATTGTAATCTTTTCTTTACAGAAAGAGGAACTGAGCCACAGATAGATAAGGTAATTTTGCTAAGGCCACATAGCTAGTAGGTGATAAGCCAGAAGTGAAATTCAGTTCTAGTGTTCTTCATATTACATCATGTTGTTATGCAGAAAACAACGTATTAAAAAACAGATTCATAGAAAGTCAAAGTAATTAAAGACATTAGGTTTGTGTGATGAAAAAGCAGGTTCATAAGAGTTTAAGATTGGCGTCACAGAGGTTAATAATTTTTTCCAGCATTAAATCAGTCCTTGTTACTGTGGTCAGAAACAGCCTATTAAGCTGGATATGCCTACGTGGAGCTTCTTTCGTTTTATGCTCTTTAATTCAAGAGATCTAAATGTATTATTAAATCTCCTAGGTTCTACTATTTTTCTTTGGTTTATATGGTTTAAATTTAGGTACTTAAATTTACTAACAGATAAGCAAAGAAAAATTTTAAAAGCTAAAATTCAGGCCAGTAAGAGTTTACTACCTTCTATGGTAAATATATGAATTGATAAAATATTTACATTCAGGACTTTAAAAAAGTTATACTACAAAGTGAGATAATTTTTATTAATTTTTCTGCCTTGGTTACTCTTTACCTGTATAGTAGGTAAATCTTTACATAAGATCACAATTATGTTGAACAGTAATTTCTTCAACTCAAAATCTTCATAGGAATTAGAAAGCTTAAGTCCTTTTACCAAAATATTTTGACTTTTAACTGTGAGGGAAAAAAAACATAAAATGACAGCTTAAATGTTGCATAAGATTCATCAAGATAATCATAAGAAGTTTAAAGTTTTATGTTTTTTACCTTCATTAAAGGTGGCAAACAGTATCAAATCCTTAGCAAAGCCACATTCCTAATATAAATACATAAAGCAAGAATAAAGATGAATGTATAAGATGAAAGTTAAGATGCAGATGCTCATATTTGCTATTTAAGTACATTTATCAAATTTTCCTATTGTCATTCATTTGAATTCATAAAGCATGAATAGCAATAAAAGGTGAAGCAAAAAGTAAAAACATAGCCAAATAAGCTTATTTAACATTAAATAACCCATGTTTATTTAATTTTAAATTTCTGTAGGTTCTAAGAAATACTTTATATTATTCTATGAATAGTCTGTTTAAAATTTGTTAAGGATCCAAAATGTATTAGGTCTTTATAGTTACTTCTGTAATTCATTATCTATACTTCAAATGACACAGTAAGGGAAGAAAATCCAGTTATTCTTAACAGCTTTTCTTCTTAAACACCTCCACTTCTACCCCAACCATTCTTGTTACATCAAATGTTTGGTCAAGAGATAATAAAGTAGTTCCTATTTAGCATGAAAAGCCCTGAGGAATCACCAGAGTTGCAAACATTTTAGCATGTCAGCATTCCTGTCAGAGATATCCTAGTTGGACTTTGCATATTAGGGACAGTTTACAGGGGCAAACCCTAGACTTACGAGCTTGTAGTTTTATATTCCTAGTACTTTAGGATCTATATGATTTCTTCAGATGGTGAACATATTATTCACTTCAACTTAGATTCGTGAAATTCATCTGAATGTTTTCAAGGACACTAATGAGAAATTACTAACTGATCAGGGACTTCTAAAGAAACATAAAGGTGCACCTATGTTTGGAGAAATATAAAGGTTCACCTATGTTGCAGTTTTAACTAGAATACCATGTAGTACTGTTTCCCTATTTGCACAGTATGAATTCCATAACTCTTATGTTGGGACTACTTTTTGTCCACTGTTAGTGGGCTGAGGTCTTCCCAGCCAGTTCTTTGTAGCACAACTATAACTTACATGCCTGACGTGTGAATACTGTTGACAAGGATCTCTATTATACAATTTCAATCATTCAGTGATTTTTACATTATAAAATATGTGAAGGCTCAGCTTCTGGTACAGATGAGTAGTAGCTCCAAGAGAAATTCTCCTGCTAGTGACAAATACAACTATCTTGTAACCAAGAGTAAGCAGACACTGGAAGTATGTTAGAATTTTGTAGAAGGTAATGGCACTACATGAGTTTCCCATTTGAAAAAGGCTTTTGGCCTGAGAGCAGGCCATATTCTATACCTTGTGGGAATGTTAAAACTCAGAGTAATCCTGTGGTCTTAGTGGCCTGAAGCCAGAGGACAGAGGCAACCACATCCACTGGAAAGTGAAGAGAAAGGAGAGAGCCAGAGAGAGGAATGCCAAAGTCTGTGTACAAACTCTTCCCAAATATCTGGCTGATGTCTGAACCACACAAGTGCAGAGAATACTCAAGCATCCCAGGCAATAACTGAATTGAGATTTGGGCTGCCACACCCAAAAGGGATGAGTACTGCCAAGTTAAATGTATAGTCATTAAAAAAAAAAAAAGAATACTCTTCAGAAGAGTACACCAGAATCTATAGTAAAGATGATCATAATAAATAGAAAGATAAGAACTCTCAGAAGTGACACTATAAAAAGGAACCAAAATAAACTCTAAAACTGAAAAATATATCTGAAGCAAAAATGTACTGGATGGGATTAACAGCAGAATGGAGATGACAGAAATAAAAAGAGTCAGTGAATTCAAATGTATAGACTAATACAGATTATCCAATCTGAAGAATGGAGAGAAAAATGATTGAAAAGTGAGCAGAGTCTCACAAACCAGTGGGACAATATCAAAAAGTAGAACATAAAAGTAATCAGAGCCGGGTGCGGTAGCCCACACCTATAATCCCAGCACTTTGGAGGCTGAGGTGGGTGGGTCACAAGGTCAGGAGTTCAAGACCAGCCTGGCCAACATAATGAAACCCCGTCTCTACTTTAAAAAAAAAAAAAAAAAAAAAAAAAAAAGAATTCCAGAAGAAGCAGGGAGAGAGACTGGGGCTGAAAAAAATATTTGAAGAAATAATGGCCAAGAGTTCTCCAAATCTTATTAAAGACTTAAATTTATATATCCAAGAAGCTCCATGAAATCTAAACAGAACAAATACAAATCTCATCTTAGCACATCATTTCAAAACTGCTAAAAACCATAGAGTGAAAATCTTGAAAACAGTGAGAGAAAAAAATGATATACATAGGGGAACAATGATTTGAAATAATGAATGCTTCTCATCAGAGTCCAGGGTGCTCACCATTACACCATGGAACCTTACACTGAATACTTCTCATCAGAAACAACAGACTCCAGAAGATAGTAGAATTTTATCTTTGAAATGCTAAACAAAAATTGTTTTCAGCCTAGAGTTTTATATTCAATGAGCATAGATTTTAAGGATTAAGATGAATTAAATATATTTTCAGATAAAAGAAAACCAAGATAATTTGTTGCCAGCAGCCAGCAGATTTGCCCCACAAGAAATTGTAAAGAAAGTTCTTCCAGTGAAAGAAAATGATGCCAGATGGAAACTTGAATCATCAGGGAGGAAAGAAAAGCATCCTAAGTGAAAACACGTGTATAAATCATACAATATGAAAAAGATTCCAAATTTCCAAAGGATTGCAAAGAAGAATTGGCAGAGTGATAAGCACACTGGTGACCACCGTGATATTACAGCATAACTTAGCATTACAACAAAATACACAAATATTACAACATAATATAGGACTTCACCCGCACCCACCACTTCCACAATTAAAATTAATGTAATTTGATTCATACTTACAATCATTGGTGCTTCAGGATTTTGAGCTATAATTGTAGTGATCACTAATATGTCATTTCTAAGCTGACGGTCATAATGACTAAAACCTCTCATAAACAGATTTTTAAATACTTCCTTCAAAGCCCTAGAAAGTAAAATCATGTTTTTAAAACTATATAGTTATGCACTAAATGTTTACATCCCTCCAAAATTCATATATTGAAATCCTAACCCTCAATGTGATGGTTTTAGGAGGTGAGGCCTTAGTGTGCTAATGAGCCCTCATGAATGGAATTAGTGCCCTTATAAAAGGGACTCCAGAAAGCTCTCTTGCTCTCTTTCCTCCATGTAAGGTAAGAGAAGTCAGCAGTATGCAACCCAGAAGAGCACCCTCATCAGAACCCGACCATGCTGGCACCCTGATCTCAGACTTCTAGCATCCCAAACTATGAAAAATAACTTTCTGCTGTTTATAAACCACCCAGTTTATGGTACTTTGTTATAGCAGCCCAAACTAAAACACACACTTTTATGGAAATACTACCTAAATGTCTATGAACAAAATCTCCCTTTTTATATTATTCATTTGAACATATTTCTAACCTTTTCTACAGTTCCAAATCTGCCTCTAATTCTCTGTGTACCAGATAAGAATACACTAAACCAGTCTATTATACATGGTAGTCAAAGTGACAGTTCTATAATCCATTCAATCATGTCATTTTCCTTTGTAAAATCATTTAAAGACTACTCTTTGTTCTTAGAATAAAGTACTACCTCCTTAACAAGGCTTATTAGGCCTTTCATGTTGTGGTCCCTGATAACATTGTTAGCATCATCTCTCACCATGGTAGCCTATTCCTCTGCTCTCATCACATTGAATTTTAGTTTTCTGATTTTGATAATTAACTCTGAATTAGGTTCCCTTTGTAATAATATTAGATATTTCTTGCTTTGCTTCCTGGGACCTACTTGCCCTTTTTTATAATAACAGTATCCTTATCTTTTATGTAGTCATTTATTCCTTCCTGACTTTTGCTTCTGTGAGGCTGTCTTCAGCTGCCTTTTCACCAAAGCGTTCTTTCTTTTGGCGTTAACAAATCACCGTGGACTGGGCATTTGACCAGTATTAGACCATTCAGGGCCAAATAGGACTCAATTCAAAGACTTTTCTCTGAGCCTTCAGGATTGCAAGCTTGATTTGAGGTTGAGATAATGTGATCCTAGGCTTCTTAAGTCTTACTACATAGGCTTGGGTGTGAAGCCAACACCATGGAAGACAATGTAGAGAGATGAGGGACCAAGTCTTAATATCTGCTGATCCCTGAATAAAGCAGCACATGAAGCCAGTTTTATTTTTGACTTTGTAGGTAAATGAGGCATAAATTTCCTATATTGCTTTTGTCAGTTGGGTTTTTAGTCACTTGCAAACAAAAATGCGCTGACTGACCTTCTTCTGAAGAACATGTAGCATCTTACAATGATCTCTTTTATAACATTTAGTATGTTCTCATTTAGTTGTCTGTTTACCTGTCCATCCCTTCTAGCACAATGTAATTCCATGAAAGCAGGAACAATATCTGTATTGTTTTCAGTTGTATTTCTATGGCTTAATACTGAAGCTGGCATACAGCTGATAATTACTTGCTGAATAAGTGAAGAAGCCACCTGAAGGCTTACTCACATTTTGTTGCTAATGCTTACTGCAATATCTGGAAGATAGTAAGCACTCAATAATAGATTCACTGCATAAATAAATGAAATAGTTCTTCTGAAGTCTAATTTTACTTTGTGTATATACCAAGGTATAACTTAGTGTTAAGAAGCTACTTCAAGAGACTTCCATATAGAAAAGCGTGGCCTGTTATTGTGCAGATTCATTTATACCATGGCACAAAAAAAGATGTCCTGAAACATAGCTACTACATGAATCTAAAATGTAATTGAACATGGATTCAAACAAAGATGTTAGCTATGTCACTGGCTATCATTTTAAGATTAAAAGAACATTCCTATCTAACCATATACACTTACAGCAAACATTCCAAGTTACTAAGCTGTTGTAGGATTTCTTCTTTTGGAGATTTTTCCAACAAGTTCCAAAGTATTTCTGATGAACGAAATAAAAGCTGTCCAGAGGGATCTGGGTCATTGAGGTGAGCACAGATTCCACTGGCTGCTTGTGCTTTCATCATTATACTACAATTAACTTCTGAAAATAAATTTTAAAAATTATTTGTGCTTTACAGTATTGACATTGTTAGATGGAAACAAAAGTAGTTGACAATGAAGCATTTAAACTTAATAATATACAAACCAGAAGTTGAGAGATGCTGCAGAACTTTAAGTACCCAAAGTTTCTCAACAAGTTGGTTTTCAAGCAAGGTCATTGCCTGAACCATTGTTTTTGCTAATCCTCCAACTTCTGCCATTTGAATCTTATATGATGAACTTGCTTGCTGGTAACCTAACAACAGTTAGTTAATAAATACGTATAGTTATCTCAAAGAATGATCATTAAGACAAAATAATGAATATTATTAAGCAACAGCAAGAACAACTTTTTTAAAGTATATAGAATTTAAGAATTGTGTGGCATAGGAATGGGCTACATTTTTTCTGTAAAGGGCCAGACAATAAGAATTTTAAGCTTTTCAGGTTGTAAGGTTTCTTGTCAACTGCTCTACTCTGTGGCACACTGTAGAAAGAAAGCAGCAATAAATAGTACAAATATAAGTGGGCATGGCTGTGTTCTAACAAAACTTTGTTTTCAGCGGGCCTAGTTTGACCTGGGACCCAGAGTTTGCTGCTCCCTGGGGTAGCATTTAAAATAGGACCAAGAATTTTGGAAACACATCTTAAAATCTAAAAAAGGACAATATATACTGTCAGTAGATACTTTTTATAATGGAAAATGATTTGATTACAAATACTGAATGTTTTCACTAGTCAATTTCACTATTTGGGTCCAATGTATTACTTCAGTACTTTCGAGGGACAACAATTATGTAGTGTCAGCAATAAAATAAGAGGTGAAAATGTAATGCTACTCTGATAATTGGGAATGAATGTAATGGTATTTTAGGGAAGTTTGATTCTTGGTGATATGTCTTATAAAAATTCCTCTGTTTTAGCACCTGTGAGACATACTACTTCACCTTTTGATGCAGGTATACAGGTTTTACCTAACTACATTCTACTAGGAGAATTAAATAAACACCAAAGGGTACTCATTTAACTGAGATGAGGCTTTATTTTTTCTCTTAGTGATCTTAGTTATCGAACTCCCTGACTGATTTTTGAGTTCAACTAGATTCCTTAACTTTGCCCTAGTTCTGAAGTATCTGTTAGTTTGTCTTATCTTTGTAAATATGATCTCTGGCTGTGGACATGGCCCTGTCTAATGCTGTGATGAGCTCTATATGATATGCTCCAGCTACTCACTGCATGAATTTTAAAAAGCATTTAAAAAGTACAAAAAGGAAATTGCCTATATTTTCATCATTGAGAGATAACATTAACATTTTCGTATATTTCTTGTGATATTTTAATGTATTATACAATTTTAACAACATACTAGTATACAGAATTTTATATTCTATACTCACTAAAACTTTTTATTGTTAGCTTTTCCCCATGCTATGAAATGTTTTCTAAAATCATGATTTTTATTTGCATATCTATCATATGGATGGACCAAAATATACTTTATACTTACTGTATCTTTTTCTATTGCAGGTACATTTTAATAGAAGAAGATAATACTATTAAAGCTCATGGACTTAATTCCTGTCTCCAGGGCTATGTCTCTTTCAACTGCTGTACCGAGGACTTTCAGCTGTGGTCCTAGATGTCTGGCCACAGCCATCACTTGAAACCAACTGTGTGATAGTGAGAGCGCTGACTCCTAATTTTCAGAGCCTGACCAAATCAACCTCACTTCTTTGTATCATAATACTTCTCTGTCTTAAGTCCTACACCACTTGTCTCCCTTTCTTTAATGGGCATCTGTATTTTGCCAAGGTTAATCTAAGCTTGTGCTCTTAATTCGATCTTCTCGTGCTTTCTTTGAGAATTTTGCCTTCCCATTTCTTTCTTACCAGCTTCTAGCTCCTTTGCCTACAAATGTCATTTCTTCTTATCCTAAAAATAAAACCCAAATAACCTTTCTCTGACTTTGCACTAGCTGAGCTGTTCTCCATCTTCTTTTTCTTCACCATCTGATCTTAAGATATATCTGCATTCATGAACTGCCATGACTCTCTCACTCTTAAATCCAGTGCCTCTACTATCACAATCCTCTTATTCTTTAATCCTGCATTTCCCCTGATCACTTTATATGAATAGATCTGTCAAAGATTGACTACAACTTTTCAGATATCACATTAACTTGTCCTTTTAACTCTTCAATTACAGATGCCTCTGCAGCATTTGACACTGAGACACCTTCCTCCTCCTTTATCAAACATTTCATTCATTGGCACACAAGACATGGCTATCTTTAGGTTTTCTTCCTCCTCCTTGAACGTCCCTTCACTGCCAATTTCTTTTAATCATTTTTTCCAAACCTCAGCATGGACACTCTCCATGATGTTGTTCTTGATGCCTTGCTGCTTATATGTTTTATCTCTTGGCAAACTCAACCATTCTGGTGTCTTCAATTTTCAGCTCTAACAGATGGATTCCGAACCTGTATTTCTGGTCCCTATTGCTTTTAATATACAATATCTTTTTCTACCAAAACACTTCAACCCATCTATCTCATCAGTAGTTCAAAGTGGACATTCAATAATCTCTTTATTCATTTCTCTAGTTTAGAAGTCTTTCCTTCTTTTTGTTTTACTTTTTGAATTCTGTTTTTCATGAATTTCTTCTTTTAATTGTCTTTTTTTTTTTTTTTTTTTTTTTTTTTTTGGAGATGGAGTCTCAATCTGTAGCCCAGGCTGGAGTGCAGTGGCACGATCTTAGCTCACTGCAACCTCTGCCTCCCGGGTCCCAGTTCAAGCAATTCTCCTGCCTCAGCCTCCTGAGTAGCTGGGATTACAGGCATGTGCCACCATGCCCAGCTAATTTTTGTATTTTTAGTAGAGATGGGGTTTCACCACGTTGGCCAGGCTGGCTTGAACTCCTGACCTCATGATCCACCCACCTTAGCCTCCCAAAGTACGGGGATTACAGGCGTGAGCCACTGCGCCCGACCAATTGTCTTTTTTTAAAGTGACTTCTGGTTTCCATTTTCCCCTAGTCTTAAATAAACTTTCCTTTGAACTACCACAGACTCTTATTTTCACCTATATTAAGAAACATAACCTAAGAAATTATCGTATAAACAATCTTCTCTTCCTTCTTAGATTGATTAGAAATTACAGAAACTATGAAGGTAAGAAGTACGTCTTAACATTATACCCTCACAGTGCATGTGCCCCTGTCTTGGTCCTGCCCAATTCAGTGTGGGTCATTTACCATGATATATTAAGGTCCCTTAGCTATAATATAAACTCTTTTCCTAAACATGATGGAGAATGGCCCTGGCACTAGTAATTTACATTGAATTGAGTAGGGGCAGATATTATGAATAATTACAAAGTGTTTAAAAATAATTTTATCAACAGTATTAAATAACGTTATAATAGTAACATTTAAAATTATTAGTAAACTAAGTTGGGCATTACTTTACAAATCTGTTCATATTTAGCATCAGAATAAAATATGCAAGTCAAAAACTGAAAAATACGTATATAACTTTTAAAAGATGACCAAAGTACTCAAGACTACAAAAAAGTTTTCTTTTTAATGTGTTACATTTATGAGTCCACTGCGTCTGTCAAATTCAAAGAGAAATAAGAATGTTCCATTTTCTAAATACACAAGTTATCACTGAAAGACCATTGTAAATTTTACCTGGAATATGCTTCTTTGGTGGTTCTGCATGATAAAAGTCAACAATACACTTACAAATTTGTATCCTCAATTCAGAACTTGGTATTTTCATTAAGTCACCTGCCAGAAAGATAAACAGGTGCTACTTATTAACACTGTCATAAGCTTATTTGTAGAATTTAGGCATAAAATATTAATAATATGATTATTAAAAATATACTCAGATTCAAACTGGATCATGTTCAATTTATATACATATTTTTTATACATATACTCACACACCTACATACATATACATATAAACAGTACCCTGGATCCATCCTTATACATTTGGCCCCTCAATCAATTCAGCCTCGCCTTTCCAGGGAGGTAAGAATGATGCTTATTAACACGAATGCTAGAACCAGACTGTCTAAGATTAAATCCTGGCTCTGCCATTTACTACCTGTGTAAACTTGTGTCTTAGTTTTCTCATCTATTAAACAGGTATAACAATATTTATCGCATTTAAGAGTGTTGTGAGGATTAAATTAGCTAATATGAGAAAAGGACTGAGAAAAGTGTCTAGCATATTGTAAGTTCTTTATGTGTTAGATACTATTACTATTTTGAAAAAATATAGGTTAGCATTTTTCTCCCTAACTAGAGGGTCAGTAATTTTTTGCCTTTAATAATGCATTCTTTGCTTTAGAGAAGTTCCAGGTGAACTTTGCTCTTCAATTTGTTGGCAGACTGGGAGAGGGTGAGTTTTTAGGGAGTTGCCCCACAGGCAAAGGTAATAGTTTTATGTTCAAGCTGTCTGCGTGGGGTTGGCGAATAGGAGGGTTCCTTTTCAGTCATATCTAAACTATACTTAAATTGACTTCAGACTGTATTTCAAACTGGATTGCATCTATTCTGTTGAAGTCCTATAAATATGATCCCCAAGGGTATCTGAAAATGATCTGTGTAACTCTGGAAATGATCCAGGTTCTCTGAATGCCTGGGGACAGCTATAGTCAGTAGTATCAGCCTTAGAACTGAACCAGAAGTGCTTGGACTCTCTGAGGGTAAAAGATACTTAGAAATTTCTCTTTTGCATTAGCCCTTGCGTGAAGCTCATCTCTGGAGGTGGTCAGCAAGTGGGGAGGCAAGTGGACAGGGGGAGGAAGCACAAAGGAAAGCCTGACCCTAGCTTTAGGAGACTCTGTATGCAAAAGATACCACTTAGAAAAGACAGTTTTAAGATTATTCTAATTCTAAATTTTATTTATGTTTTGGACTGTTCTTTGGAATTGCAAAATAAGTACTTAGGTTTTTAAAAATATTAGGCAACAGGAGCAACAAAGCTTTTCCGAGACTGTCCAAATATGCAGGCTTATGGGAAATTCTAGGAACTTTCGTCTGCTTTTCCACTGTTTTAGTTCCTGTAAATTTAGATAATTTATCATAGCTTTCTGTTTCATCATCTCAGGGCAGAGTACCAATTTCTTCTCTCATCCATTTCCAGAATCTTGTTTCTGAGTCAGAAATATCTATGTATCATTTGGAAGAAAATGTAATATAACTTATTAGTACATAGTAGAAACTGGAAGTTATTACTAAAAATCATGAATAGTTTTTGTTCAACATTTCATCTTACATTCAGTTATTTTAAACTAATGTTTCAAGCCACTAAAAAAAACTAAGAGACAGAACAGTAGTACTTGCAGTCAGTAATCAGTGAAGGAAGCTCATTTGAAGTTAGGAGTTCATACTGTCTTCAAATGAGATAGTAGTGACACGTTCTGCAGGCAGGGGACCAGTCATTAAGCAAAGAACAAGCTGATAGTAAGAAATGGGCCATGTATTTATAATAAAAGTGACTGCCAACACTCTTGGAAGCAATATTTAAAAATAATGGCAACAGGGGTATTTTAAAAAATAATGTTACCAACAAAAACCATACTTTTTATCCGTTAATACTACCATGTCCTCTTTTGGGTTAGATTCTCATTGTAAATTTCCACTGATGATAGAGAATCACAGAATTAAAAATTCCCATTATTTCCGAACCTGCCTGCTTCCTAAGGTGTTTTTCTTTAACGCCCTGTCCCAGCCCCATGTTTAACCTAATCTCCACGACTCTAGGTCACAGAGTAGGTGAATCCTAGGCAAGTTTTTGAAAGTAGCAAAAATTAAAATCCATAAAACCTACCGAGATATAAAAGGGTTAGTGTCTATGTTAAAAATAAAAATGATTTTTTTCTTCATTCTAGTTAAATCTCTAACATCTTTCTGTATGGAGTATAATGCTGGGAACATAACTATTCAGTAAATATTTTTAAAAATGTATTGGATCAATTGTGTATCTTTTATTCCTCCTGTACAAATAAAGACCTAAACTAATAAGTATAAATTTAATGTAGGATTTGTTTTGGGAACATGCTGTCATGTCCCAGGAGCTGACTCAAAGAGCTAGTGTTTCCCTTATTTAATTTCCTAGGAAATTGTTTTCTTTCTCAAGAAAATCAAGCAATAACCCATATATAAATGCCTACCCTTTTATGATATTTTTCATATTTTGTGTACAAAATACAGGCATCTGCATCTTTATGTGTATTATGCTAAAGTTCTTAATATGCTATCATTTTATGATTTGATTTAAAATTTTAGATCATTTAATGAATAATTCTATGATTGTAGCATCTAAGTATTAGAGTTCAAAGTTGAAATGTTTTTGTGATTACTTAAAAAGGGGGATGTATACTTTCTAATACAAAAATAGTTAACAAACATTTCATCAAATTAAATAATAATTCATTAAACTAAATAATCAGCCTGTCCTTGTACTTAAGGAACACAGACTTTTACTGGTATCATGAAACACCTGAGCAGAATACAGTACCAGAATTATCACCAAGCACACTGTGATTAATTCCCTACCAGAAAATAAGAGAAGATCCTAGACATGGAGAAGGAGTTCTCTTAGTCAAACTTGAAGAAAATAGATATTTCCTTGTCAGTAGGACCTGTCATGTGTTACATCTACCTTAAGGAAATCTTAACTTACCCAGAAGTGCAATTGAATTAGCAGTATCTTCAGCATAAGTTATTTCATCCGATACTTTCTTTTTCAAAAATGGCAAGCTTCAATAAGAATAGTAAGAGTAATTTTTAATAAGGTATTTGATTGAAGCATCATTTGTAAGTGGGGGAGATTTCATTTCTAAAGAATAAATTAATAATAATATTCTATTCTTTAGCCCTGGGGAATTGACAACTATTAATTACTAGTTGTAATACACAGTATTATACTTTAATAGTATTATAACTGTTTCTGGGACCTGGCACGGTGACTCATGCCTGTAATCTCAGCACTTTGGGAGGCCAAGGTGGGCGGATCATGAGGTCAAGTGATTGAGACCATCTTGGCCAACATGGTGAAACTCTGTCTCTACTAAAAATACAAAATTTAGCTGGGTGTGGTGGCAGACAGGAGAATCACTTGAACCAGGGAGGCATGGGCTACAGTGAGGCGAAATCGTGCACTACACTCCAGCCTGGCAACAGAGGAAGACTCTATCTCAAAAAAAAAAAAAGTTTCTGATAAACTGACCAAAAAAATTATATTAATTATAAAAATTAAGAGATGGATGTAAAAGCCACAGGTTAAGGAAGCCATTTTGCATCACTTCATGAATAAAAACTTAGTAACCCTCTTTCTCTTTGAGGTCAAAATAGTAATTCTATCAGAGTTAGTACAACATTGGAAAATCTGATACAAACCATAGATTTAAGTTCACTAATAACTTAAAAACTGGTTAAGAGCTTTTCCTGAAATTTCCAAAACTCTAGCCAAAATCAAATAATTTATTCATTCTTAGAGATCAGTGCCTTTTTCCTTATTAGCTGGGTTAGTTACTAACCACAAAATAACAGAATGCTTTTGCAGACATTAAGGCATTCAAGTTTACAAATATTACTATATTAGAATTGCATTTCATGCCATTATAACAAAGCTATTTGAATGTAACTTATTTATAAATCTTAAAGATCTAGCACATAAACCTGGGTCAATCTAAATTTCAAAGGAATTATAAAAGTTATTCTTAAATATATAAACTATCTTGACATTTCATGAGTTCAAAATGTGAACCTCCTATGCTATTTAAAGTACAATATATCCTATATAGAGAGGACTTTAAATTCATGTTTTTGAAGAAAAACTAAACACGTGGTTGAAAATGGCAGTGAGAACTATCACATGAGGATGTATTAATAGCATATAAGACCAATTTGAATTTAACGAAATATCTGAAGAGCAAGCTACAAAAAGGACAATTTTGTAAATGCCACAGAAGTTCATTTCTAGTGTTTGTCAGAATTTGTCATTTGAAACAAATAATGTGTATTTGTTGTCCAGCTGCTTGTTGGATCTCTAAAGTGAAAGACTCCAAAACTAGTACTTTTTGTCAAACTTTTTCCTTTTCTAGCAAAGGCGACAACCTATAAGATAAAGCATCAGAAGAGTTTTCAGCCAAAAAGTTATGAAAAAATTAGCATTATACTTCTTTTCTTTTTGAGATGGAGGATCGCTCCATTGCCCAGGCTGGAGTGCAGTGGTGCGATCTCCGGTCACCGCCACCTCGGCCTCCCGAGTTCAAGTGATTCTCCTGCCTTAGCTTCCCAAGAAGCTGGGATTACAGCTGGGATGGCAGCTGCCATCACACCCAGCTAATTTTTGTATTTTTAGTAGAGACAGGCTTGCACTGTGTTGGCCAGGCTGGTCTCAAACTCCTGATCTCATGATCCGCCCAACTTGGCCTTCCAAAGTGCTGGGATTACAGGCGTGTGCCACCGCAACGGGCCAGCATTATAGTTGTGATGCAATGAGAAAACCATACTACTTGGAGGCCAAAATGGAAAGCCTTGGCATTATTATTCTATTTTCATTGTTTTTATCTTCGAAAAATGTCTTGAAAAGAGAAACAAGTGAGGGTGAGGCATAAAGAAGTTATCTAGACATATGCTGAAATTAGAAATGTAGAAAAAATTAACAATGTGAATAATTATGAAATATGAGGGAAAATGAAGACTCCAGTTAAAAAAGATTTATCATATTATACAATTAAACATTCAGTGACAAGTTTTTATAGAGAACCAACCCTGTGCAGAGCTCTGTAGGAACATGAATATTGAAAGTAATGCTTATGAACTTGGCATTCTAGGACTTGCAAAGCCTTGAAATTTAAGTTTTATATTATATAATTATATGTCAATATAATAATTTCCAATTTGTTCCTGGAAAACACCAGAGCAACCATTTATTTCTTTATTTCCCATTGTTCCTATTAAAAAGCAAGGCATGGTGTAGATATTCAATACATTATTTTGATTATTTTATCCAGATATCAAAAAAATTAAACATAAGTGGTTACAAACATTTCAAATATTATTACTGCTAAATCTAAAAGTGAGAGTCAGAACCTACCATATATGCATAGTTTTACTAAACTTTTCTATTACTTATATATTTGTATATTAGGGTAAATAATTGCTATTTTAAAAGTTAAATTGGTAGAAAGGTTCAGAAGGTAAATAATTTGTCAGAAAGGTTTATTCCTCCCTACTACATTACGTTTAACAACTAAAAATATTTTAATATATACCTAGATTAGCCACTATGTGGCACCAAGGACCATACACTCTTAGTTTCCTGAACTTGTTAGGGAACCAACAGTAGAAAGAATGAGACATGTTAATTTTATAATTCTTACCTCTAACTTACATTGTTAAAATGTAGGTCAAATATGATTGTTGATGTTTTATTCTCTCAAATTTCAAAAATCAAGTAAAACATGACATATAACCGAATATATCTTTGAGACCCAAATTTTCTAAAGACAGAGGGAAAAGCTAGACTGAAACTATAAGTATATCCATAAGTTCACTCAAGGATTCCATGAAAAATACTACAATTCCTTGGTTACCTCTAATATTTATCATTCACTTGATAGCAACTAATTACAAGAAAGAATTTCAGTATACTTACAGTTTAATCTCTTGTGGCTAGCAATCTCAGAGCACAGAAAATTGATTACCTGAAGTCTCAACTGCTGGAATCAAGGGATGAACTGAAGTTGTCTGAGTTCTGTAGCAACCTGCTACACTATAATGCATAGTATGTTTGTGACATGAAACATAATAAAATATTCCATGCTAATACAAAACAAAGTTAAAGAAAGATAACTTACCCACACAATTTTATGATATCATATGCAGATTCTACAAAACGAGGCTGGTTTTTTATTTTTCCTGCACACAGATTCAGAATTTTAAATATCTGTGCTAAATCCCTTAATGGCTTTAATATGTTTAGTTAAGAAATAAAATTAAGATTAATATTTTTGTTAACATACTCTTTATAATAATTCTGTGAAAAAAGTCTAGAATTCCAACTATTTTGTTAAATGCAGTAGATACTGTTTTAATTATTCTTATTTTGAGGTCTAAGAAAGGAAATTTAGAACAATATTTTTTCAGAAAACTATTTTCTTTTTGCCTCAGTAAACTCCTACTCACAATTTTTTTCCTCTCACAACTTGAGTTGGATTACAAACTGCTACAACACAGATTTAGTTGATCAATAATTTCCCCATTGGCAATGAGTAATAGCACATTAAAAACATTAACTTATTGATTAGGCTCAATTTTACCCTTCATCTTCATCCCCTACCCTGCCCACACAAACATATTCTGTCTCAGAATAAGCAACCCAAACCTACTTTATTCCACTATTTTATTAACATTAAAACTCAGATGAATTTTCCTGTATTTAAGGTTTAAATTGGTTAGGATTTTATCTGAAACTAATATGAAAGCAAAATATAGCCTTTCTAGATCTTCAGATAAAGGTATCTTTTATTTTATCTATTAAAAATCCTATTGGCACATAAACACAATTCATTGATTTTGTTTTACAGCTAAGAAATTATGGTAGATGTGACTTAAACTTCTTGGTGAATCTTATTACTTCTAGCCTTTCTTTAGGACCTCTTAGGAAGAGATGGGAGAGCTGGGCACACTGGAAATAAAAAGCTCTGTTAACCTCCAGATAAGTGACCAACACACTTCTCTAACTTTGGTAAGTTTTACCACTTCTATAGCCAATCTGTGAAAAGCATTCAGAAATAGAGCCAATTGCCACCAATGGTTTAACCTGAAGAAAAACAATGATGGAGGTGTGGAGGTGTCAGGTTAAAACAGGAAAAGAAACCACCTGTTACTAGACTTTTTCAGCTACCAGTAAATAGGGCTTTATATACACGAGCCCTAAGATTGAACAGGTCAAAATAAAACCAAGGCTAAAATATAATAATAAAAGATTTAGCTAAAATTATAAGAAACATGGCACAAACACAGCTCACTGCAGCCTTGAATTCCTGGGCTCAAACGATCCTTTCACCTCAGTCTCAGCCTCTGGAGAAGATAGAAGAACTACAGGTGTGCACCACCATACATGGCTTTTTTTTTTTTTTTTTTTTTTTGGTAGAGACAGGTCTTGCTATTTTTTCCAGGCTGGTTTCAAACTCCTGGTCTCAAATGATCCTCCTGCCTCAGCCTCCTAAGGTGTTGAGATTACAGGCATGAACCACAATGCATGGGCTTGATACCTTCTTTAGACCAAGTCAGAAAACTGTTCAAGATCATTTTCAGGGGTGTCCAATCTTTTGGATTCCCTGGCCCACACTGGAAGAATTGTCTTGGGTCACAGATAGATGAAATACTCTAACACTAATGATAGCTGATGAGCTCAAACAAATTGAAAAACAAAATCTCATAATGTTTTAAGGAAGTTTACAAATTTGTGTCGAGACACATTCAAAGCCATCCTGGGTGGCATGCATCCCATAGGCTGAAGGTTGGACAAGCTTGATTTAGATGAATACTATTCCAAGTGTGGTCTATGGACCACTGTCAGTTCTGGAAGTGTATTTACCAGTCTATGACAAAATGAATACAGAAAGCAAGAGTGGATATATGAAAACTTTTATAACAACCTAATATCTGTGTGATACTTTTATTTTATTTTACAATAGCATATATATGTAAACATTTTTTTTTAATGGCCAGCTGCGGTGGCTCACATCTGTAATCCCAGCACTTTGGGAGGCCAAGGTGAGAGGATTATTGGAGCTCAGGAGTTCAAGACCAACCTGGACAACATAATGAGATCCACAAAAAAATAAAGCAAGCTGGGCATGGTGGCTGCATGCCTGTAGTCCTGGCTGCTTTGGAGGCTGAGGTGGGAGGATCACTTGAGCCCAGGAGTTTGAAGTCACAGTGTGCTATGACTGCATCACTGTACTCCAGCCTAGGCAACTAAGGCTGGATGGAGACCGTGTCTCAAAAAAAAAATAAAAAACACCCAAAAACCAAATCACAACCCAACAACAAACTGGTTCTTATCTACGCGTACTATCTGTTTGTTTGTTTTTGAGACAGGGTCTCACTCAGTTGCCCACACTGGAGTGTAGTGTCACAATCTTAGATCACTGTAACCTTGAATTCTTGGGCTTCAGCAATCTTTCTGTCTTAGCCTCCCCAGCAGCTAGGAATTTGGGCACACACCCACACCTGTAAAGGCAGAGTCTTGACATGTTGACCTATCTAGTCTTGACCTCCCAGCCTGAAGCAGTCCTCCTGCCTTGGCCTCCCAAAGTGCTGGGATTATAGGTGTAAGCCATCACACCTGGCTTTTATGTACAGATAGTTTTAAGATACACTGGTTTCCATGTATTCTGATCAGGGTGGTAAATTTGGTGGGGATAATATATTTATACAATATTTTGCAGATTATCAAGCGCCTGCATGTATATAATCTCATCTAATCTTCCTAACAACCTTATGAGCTTCTATTACTTTATAAGGGTGGAGAAGTGAAGAAGCTTATCAAAGGTATACCGCCCATGTAAATTAATAGAAACAAGACTTTGGTTTGGCCTTCCTAACTACACCCACTGTTTTTCTGAATCTACAAAAAACTGACATTATCCACAGTTACTTGTGTTATATTGTTTCTTCAATTTTATTTACATTTTCTGATAGAAAATACAGTTTTGTAAAAAAAACATAAAACATTAGATATTTTATGTGGTAGACAGAATAATGGCCTCTCCAGTTTTTCTGCGGTAGACAGATTAATGGCCTTCCCCAAGATGTCCATGTCCTAATTCCTGGAGTCTGTAACTATGTTACATGGCAAAGGGACTTTTCACATATGATTAAGGATTTTGAGATGAGACAATTATACTAGATTATCCAGGTGAGCCCACCATAGTCACAGGGATCCTCATACAGGAAAGAGGGAGACAGGGAGGGTCAGAGAGAGAAGATGATGTGATGACAGGAGCAGAGGTGACAGTGATGCCAGTGGGTGGACGAGAGCATGAGGCAAGGAATCCAGGAAGCCTCCAGAAGCTGGGGAAGGCAGGGAAATGATTCTCCTCTGGAGTCTTCAGGAGGAACCAGTGCTGTCAACATCTTGACTTAGTCTAGTGAGGTAGATTTTGGATTTCTAACCTCCAAAACTATAAGATAATAACTTTACGTTGTCTTAAGCCATCAAATTTGTGGTAATTTGTCACAACAGGAATAGAAAACTAATACATTTTCTAACAGAAATTCTCTTGTTTCAGAATAAATGAACATGTATACATACACATGTAAAGGATACAAGTCCATTCTGATAACACTGTACCAGTTTCTTGACAAATTTAAGTTGTTTTTCTTCTAAGCCATCCTAAAACAAATGACCTGTTTTAGTTCTTTTGTGCTATTAAATCTGTTGAGATTTTAAAAAGTTATTCAACATAAAAAGTAGACACATTAATATTATCAAGTAATTCTTAAATTTCTATATTATAATGTAAATATTATAAAATGTTTTCTGAAACAGTGAAGGTAAAAATAAACTATTAAAACTGTATGATCTAGCAATATCACTACTGGGTATTTATCCAAAGGAAAGGAAATCAGTATATTAAAGAGATACCTACAATCTCATGTTTATTGCAGCACCATTCATAATAGCAAAGATATGGAATCAACCTAAGATAATGAATGGATGAATGGATGAAGAAAATATGGTATACATACATAATGAAATACTATTAAGCCATAAAGAATGAAATCCTGTCATTTGTAGCAGCATGGATAGAACTAGAAGATATTAAGTGAAATAATCCAGGTTTAGAAAGACAAATATCACACATTTTCACTCATGTGGAGGCTAAAAAAGTTGTTCTCATGGAGACATAGACTAGAATGATAATTACAAAAGGTAGGAAGACTGTGATGGTGAATATTTGATAGCAAAATAGGGTGACTATAGATAACAACAATGTAGTATGTATTTCAAAATAGTTAGAAGAGGGGATTTGAAATGCTCCCAACACATAGAAAAGATAAATGCTAGAGGTGATGGATATCCTAAATACTCTGACTTGATCATTACACATTTTATGCACGTAACAAAGTATCACAAGTACCCCATAAACATGTACAAATATTATGTATCAAAAATAAACTATCATTTAATTTTGATTAGGAAATTGGGAATCAAAACGAGGTTAATATAAAAGCAGTAATTGTTTCCAGAAATAATATTAACAACAACTGAAGTACACTGAATATTTTTTCTATGCCATGTACCACATGGGCACCATATATACATATCACTTCATTAATTTCCACAATGACCCTGTTAGGAAGATACTATTATGATCTCTCTTTTCCAGAACAGGAAACACAAGCTGAAACACTTTAAAGTAATGTGTCCAAAATAAACAGCTAAAAAGTGGTGATGTTAGAAGTCAAATTTGGAAAGCTGACTCTAGAAATTGTACTTTTAACCTCTAAGATATGCTCAGTGTTCTATGCAAGCCAAACATCTTAAATAAATTAAAAATGAAAATAAGCAAAACTTCTACATAGTGATATGTTTCCATGACTGAATTCCATCTGTCCTTAAGTGTTTCTGAAAAGCTGTAATGTTGTCTACACTTTTTCTCTGTAGCCTTATTAAACAGCTAATGGGAGCTCTATGTAAAAGCTGTGATATTGTCTATACTTTTTCTGTGTAGCCTTATTAAACAGGTAATAGGAGCTCTATGTAGTTGTGTGTGTTTTTTTAATGCAGATATAGTCGCAATAAATATAACTTTTCACAACAATGTTAGCCAGCAAAAGATAAATTATTCCAATAGTCATTTTTTCTCCTTTCTATGTAAAAAAAAAAAAAAAGAGAGAATAAAAATGTTAAAACAGTGACCAAATTTTTGTGCCTACTATTCATAGGACATTGTTTTCTTTTGATAGGCTATACTGGGGTCAACCCATTTTCTGCTTACTAACAATATGTATTCCTTTTTGGAAATCACCACATAAGTTCCTAGTGTGTGCTGGCTTTTAGGCATTCTGTCAATTCTTGGTAACATCAGGTGGTGTATGAGCATGTGTGCACACACATTATCTTTTCTCTCAATGCCTACTCTCCCAATTTTGAGTCTTCTGTCTAAAATAACTTCATTTTCATTACATCTTATATATGATTGGTCTCAAAATAAATTATCTATGTGTACGTGTCTATGTGTATCTATCCCAATTTCATAATTAGTACACCATGGTACCGTGTTTTCTACCATTCCCCTCCTCCAATCCTTCTTGGTAACAAGCACTTAACAGAGGCTAGATGATCCTTTCTCTGCTCTTAGGATTCCTTCTGTTACAGCCACCATGGGTTTGTCCATCTCATAAAAGCAACTATTCTCTTCCTCCAGTCTCCCCACTTCATTAAATATATCATACTAAATTTAAACAGTCCTTGAATATAAGATATGTACTATTTGAAATGTTTTCAACAAAAGGAGATAAACGAGACTTACATTTGAAGGAATATATGTTACCTTTCAGGGAAATAGTTTGTAAGTAATGCAATGGAGTAATTTTCTCTCAAAGCTTACTCACTTTATTAGTCTCTTCAAGAAGTTTGATGACATGGTTAAGGTCCACAGGCTTGAAAACACCCTAAAAAACATAAAACTCTTAATATTCTATATCAATAAGTCATATCTAACAAACTAATTTATATTTTCCCTTTGTAACTTCAGAAATGTCTCATGACACTAACATAGTAAGGGGAGAATGAAAAGTAGATGAAAACTTAGAGGAATAAATAGATTTTGGAGTAAAAATAACCCTTCTGAATTCTAGTATTATCTTATAATCTCAATGTTTTAAAATTCCCTCAGCCCTAAAAGGCCTAAGAAAATATTTAGAATAATAGCCCTTCCATACCTTGAGAAATAAAATTATCTTTTACTTGCATGTACATTAAACCAAGTTTGCCTATGCAGATCTATGGTAAGAATAGCTTGTAAACTACAGGTAGGAGATTGCTCTTCTGAACTAGGTATCCCCTTCTCTCAGTACCACCATTCTTCCAGTCATCTACATTAAAAAAAACAGGAACTTGCAAGTTCTACGGATTTTACATCTTAAATATTTCTTGAGCTCATCCCATCTTACTGATTTATTCAGTTCTTAGCTCTTATTCAATTTCACAGGCTTCCTGCTGTTCTCCCTGCCTCCACTCTTGCACCCTTCAACACCATCCTCTACTCTACCATCAGAATAATAAAACTCAAATCTGAACATGACCCATCTAAACTATCCAATGACTCCCCACTAATGCCCCTCACCTCTCCTCTGTTTTCACTCATGTTGTTACATTCCTATTCCTCTCCTTGGTTAATTCTCACAGGTCCTTCAAAAAGAGGCTCAGGTATTACCTTCCCAAAGGATGAAAAAGGCTAGAAAAATGCTGTGCTCTCATAGCACCCTACGTTTACATCCATTAAAATTCCCATGACATTGTTCTGAAAGGGTCTATATGTTGGTTCCCCACCACTTTCTGCCCCAAAGTTCACTTAAGAGCAAAGATGTTTGCTTTCAGGCTTTCCCAGCATCGAACACTGGGCCTGAAATATAATATTGTTAGTTGCTTAATAAATACTTGGAAAATGCAAACAAGAAGAGGCTATATAATTTTATAATAAAGTTATTCATAGGTAAACGGAGAAGGAAATGAGTTCTATCATCCAAAGTATAAGTAGCAGACCCTGAGCAGCCAAAGCAACCCTAAGCAAAAAGAAAAAAGCTGGAGGCATCACACTACCTGACTTCAAAATATATTGCGAAACTATAGTAACCAAGACAGCATAGTACTGGCATAAAAACAGACACATAGGCTAATGGAACAGAACAGAGGACCCAGAAATAAGTCCCTGCATTCACAGCCAAGTCATTTTTGACAAAGATACCAAAAACATACAGTGGGGAAAGAATGGTCTCTTTAATAAATGGTGTTGGGAAAACTGGATAGACATGCAGAAGAATAACACCAGCCCCCTATGTCTCACCATATAAAAAATCAAATAAAAATGGATTAAAGACTTAAATGTAAGATTCCAAACTATAAAATTACTGAAGAAAACTTTGGGGAAACACTTTAGGACCCTAGTCCGGGCACAGGTTTTTTTTGGGTAGGACCTCAAAAGCGCAGGCCACAAAAGCAAAAATAGACACACGAGATTACATCAAGCTAAAAAGTGTATGCAAAGGAAAGAAAACAATGAACAGAGTAAAGACACAACCTAAAAAATGGGAGAACATATTTACAATCTATCCATCTGAAAAGGAATTAATAACAAGAATATACAAGGAACTCAAACGACACAATGGCAAAACAAGGCCAGCCACGGTGGCTCACGCCTATAATTCCAGCACTTTGTGAGGCCAAGGTGAGTGGATCACCTGACATCAGGAGTTCAAGACTAGCCTGGAAAACATGGTAAAACTTTGCCTCTACTAAAAATACAAAAAATTAGCTGGGCATGGTGGTGGGCACCCATAATCCCAGCTACTCGGGAGGCTGAGGCAGGAGAATCGCTTGAACCCAGAGGTGGAGCTTGCAGTGAGCCGAGATTGCACCACTGCTCTCCAGCCTGGGCATCCAGAGTGAAACTCCATCTCCAAAATAAATAAATAAATACATAAATAAAATACAAACAGCAAAACAAAAGAAAATGAAAAAACCCCAACAACAAGAAAGTTAAATAATCCAATCAAAGGTAAAGTATTTATGATGTACAGAGATCTACAAATTCTCAGTGTAGTTTTGACACTATTTATATTTGAAGTTAATGCATTGCTACCTGACATTTTATCCTTAATTCAGTATTAGGTCCTGTAACGCCATTACAGCAGTTAAGCTCTCCCAGTTTCCTTTGTATCCTCTTTCCTGCTTTCACGCTTACTTCTACTTTAAAACAAATGTTTGAAAAGATGATGTAATGATATGAAACATATGAAAAAGGGGAAAAAAATCCTACTTATTCCTATCATGTAAATGCATCTATTTTTATTTTTATATATTTTGCTTTTCCTTATATGCATAAGTATTTTATATAATGTAACTTAGTGTTAATACCATGGCAGTTTCTGAGTTTTAAATCTGCAATACTTTTCCATATTTCTACATAACAATTATTACATTGTCTTAGGTTTAGAATTTCCTTGCCTTTAAAAATTACAAATTCATATATTCTGATCTCAAGAAATTTCTTTCAAAAACAATTTTAAAAAATGAATCCTAACTCAGATGTCTTGGCATCAAAAACAATTTGTAATGAAACATTCTAACTTTAAGTCTGTGGAGTAAGTATCTGAATAAGCTCATTTACTCAAAATTATATTTATATGTATTTATTTTTTTAGACATAGGGTCTTACTCTGTCGCCCAGGCTGGAGTGCAGTGGTACAATCATGGCTCACTGCATGCCTCAACTTCCCTGGGCTCAGATGATCTTTCTACCTTAGCCTCCTGAGCAGCTGGGACTACAGGGGCACCCTATCCCACACTTGGCTAATTTTTATATTTTTTGTAGAGATGGAGTGTTGCCATGTTGCCCAGGCTGTTCTAGAATGCCTGGGCTCAAGCAATATGCCAGCCTCAGCCTCCCAAAGTGTTGAAATTATAGGCATGAGCCATCATGCCCAGCCATGTTTACTTTTAAAAATAATTTTTAAAAGGATTTACTAAATACTAATCTATACCTGGTCTTATGGTACCACTAAAAATAGTTAAATATTACTGTTAAATAGTTAAATTTATAGTTACTAAAAATTTTGGTAAATAGACTTCCGCCTTTTAAGATGTGGGGATTTAGCAGTGATATCCACCACTACCTTAGCTGTCTTTTCTCTTTTCCTCCTACGGTCTCAGATTTTATACACACACACACACACACACACACACACACACACACACACACAGAGTGGGTTTTTCTTTTCTGATTTTGTACAATATTTGCTTAGAGAGCTAGACAAGGATATTAGAATGAAATGCCAATGCAGGATTTTTTTTAAGGCTAATCAAGTGAAGCAGTGGGAATGAAGAAGGAAGAAATCCTTAATTGGTTGTAATCAATTAGCTGTAAACAGCACTGCACTCAGGCCAGCCCAAAGCACAATTTCCTTTCTAATATTTGTGTGAATTTTCAGATTTTTTCTCCAAATGAGGAGGTATAATTTTTATAAGAACAGGGAGTAGTAAAGATTAAAGCATAGATTTCTCTTAGATTTATCTTGCATTATCCATTTCATGTTACTCTAGGTTTTACCTGCTTGGCAGATTTTAAAAAGATTTCTTTCTCCCCGTCTACCTTCCCTAGCCTTTTCCTCCTTCTATAACTATTGATTAGCAGGTTTTTTATTTCAGGAATTGTGCTAAGTGTGGGGAATAGCAATGTCCTCACCTCATGCAGCTATTCGTCTGGTATAGGATTTTATAGAAGGCTTTGCATGTATACAAGGATCTTAAAAAGCCATTGGATGGATTGAGACTGAACATATTAACAGACACTGGTCAGACTATATATGACAAAATAACTCTGGCTGACAACCTCTGCAGCAACTGGCTCAGAAAAGTCAGAATTTGGCCAATGGCTGCCAGCTTTCCCGGTTTTTGTCCCCCTACTTCTAACTTAAGACCAGAGAAAGACAAATATGCTTTCCAATTCAATCACAGAGGATACCCTGCTTCTAGCTAGCCCACCTCCAGTTTTCCCATGTCAACAACCTACAATCAGAATATACCTGAAGACTCTCCTACACCTTTTTATTTTCCCACTATAAAGCTTTCCAGGATGCATTGGAGTCTCTGCTAAAAGCAAGTGATAGTGGCTGACTCCATCCCTATAGCAACCCTATAGCACCTCTAAATAAACAGTCTGTTTATTGTGGTTGTCTTCATTTATTTCCACAACATTTAACAAGAATTTAATTATGAAAAGATCATCTTGTATGCTGTGTGAGACTGAACTGAAGAGGACTAGGATGGAGATAGACCGTAACTTCAGGTGTTGAATAGGTAGCAGTAACTGGTATAGAAAACAGCAAATGAAATTAAAAACATCAAGGAGGTAGATTCAGCAAGACCTAATGACTGGACACAGTAGGAGAAAGAAGGAAAAAGTTGAAGATAATTTCCTGGCTTGAGGAATTATATAAATGATTTTAACATTTCCTGAGACACAGAATGCTGGGGGAAGAGGTGTGTGTTGGGGGTTGGACATGAGAAAAATTTGGTGCAGAGGTTTCTGAATCATAGGTTTAACATGATAATTGCAGATTTTGGGTAAATGAGAACACACAAGCAGAGAGTAGAAACAAAATAGAACATACATATGTAAATATCAAAATACTAATAAAATATTTACAAATATCAAAATACTTCAGATGTTTATGAGGAAATTGTAAAAATATCCACAAAACCTTTTAAGATCAAAAGTTTAATAAATTGTGTTGGAGAAAATTAGACTTACTTCAAATTACAGAATGAACTTACTTCCCACTTTACCAAGGGACATTTCAGAGGGGAGAAACCTGCTCATTTGATACTCAGTTACGGGGAAAAAGACTAACACTTACAGTGGTCCTTTCGTGTGTCCGGCATTTTTTATCTCAATTAATCTTCAAATCTACCAAGTAAAGGTAGCACTATCATCCCTCTTGATGAAACTGAGGCTCTGGGACCTAACTTGTTAAAGACACATGGCTATTAATAATTAATGTGCCAGCAGGTCTGTCTAATGTAGAAACTCTGATTCTTTGTTCCTTAGTTCTCTGACTCCTCAATGGACAACCAAGGAGTTTCTCTCTCTCTCTCTCTCTCTCTCTCTTTAAGGAGATGGGGGTGTCCCTATGTTGCCCAGGCTGACTTCGAATTCCTAGGCTCAAGCGATCCTCCTGCTTTAGCCTCTCAAGTAGCTGTCACTATAGGCACGTGCAGCCAACTACAGAGGTTATTTCTTGCGAAAAACCTATAAACCGGGCTAGGCAATTTTAAGCACACAGTTCATGGAAGTATTATAGACAGTGACAGGATACGACATCAACTAGAAGGTTGTGAAAGTTCTCGTAGGTTCTCAGAGGGAGACCAAATTTGAGCAAGGAAGTTCAGCCATGATACCTATGCCAGTCAACTAATCACTATATTAATTCTATAAATAATATTAAGCACCTACATTGTGTCAGGCATTGTTCTAGGTGCTAAAGATAAGGCAGCGAATAAAACACAAAATATGCTGTCATAAAGAAATGATATGTTTTCAGGGAAACAAAAATCAATAAGTTGTATATTGCACAAGAAGATGAAAGTCTTGGAGAAAATAAAGGGAGGAGGAAGTGCTGTGATGCTCAAGGAGTAAAATTTTGCACCCGGTCATCAGTGAAGGACTCACAGTGGGTAACACTTCAGCAAAATCTTAAAGGAGGTAAGGAAACCAGTCATGGATATCAAGGGGAAAACTTCCAGGCAGTGAGCATAATAAGTATAAAGGCCCTTAGGCTGAGACATCTGGCATGCTGGAGGAGAAGCCAGGAAGCCAGAGTGGCTGCAGCACAGAGGCTCTGGAAGCTAAGACTTAAATTTCCACTCTGATCTCAGAGAAAAAAAATTCTGGGAAGGACACAAAACTACTGAAATATTTCTTACTCTTAAAGGAACTCATGCTCTGGTGGAAGAGATAAAACTTACACAAATGAAATAATGACTAACATAAAGCAAGTGCTAATTAGGCGAGAAACAGTATGACTCAGAGCCAGGACTATACCCATTCATGAGGAGACTATGAGGATGAAAATCAACGGAACGCACTTCCTGTTGGACAGATAGGATCGAAAGGTAGAGTAAGATTTAGTGAAATTCGGAAGAGAGGGTAGGACATTTATATTCAATAAATATGCGTCCTATATACCAGGTATAGTGCTGCATAATGTATTGGGGAATATTACAGAAAAAAAACACATAAGGTTCCTGCCCTCATGGAGGTGGCAGTAATCAGAGCATACAGTACAGATAAAGTATAACTCATGTATTGGAAAACCCAGAATGTGGGACAGAGAAGTAGAATGGAG